ATGTATGTATGTATGTATGTTACACCATCAAGCACATTTATATTTATCTCTAAAGCACACCTCTGGTTTTTAAAATCACGGAAATGTTTCATGTCAGCCTATTCCAGTTTTGGAAAACCAAAAAACCAAAAAAAACACCCAGAAATAAACCGAGTTCCACTGTAAAAGGACCGACATAGTCTATATGATTTCAGTCAGAAGTTTTGCTCCCTGTATGATATTGCCATTCTGACCTTTTTTCAGAAGCCAGGTGCTGGGCAGTGATGGAGATTCAGTCTTGGAGATAGAGTCCAGTCCAGGATATTCCGCGAGTGAAATGGATCTTTTTAAACTTTGTGAGAGCAGCCAGGATGACCTTGAGGAGACAGATCTAACAGAGGCAGGCTTGCTGAAGGTGCATCAGGCAGAAAAAAAATTCAGGGCTTTTGTCGGTGGTTCATTAAATTCTCAATCCCGGAAGAGAGACCGGCGGACATCGTTAGGAGCGATGGCTGCCCTGTTTTCTCTCGTGACGAAAGAATATCAATTCAGTTTTAACTGAGATCAGAGGGTCCCCCCAACCGTTTGGGCACCAGGGACCGGTTCCCACGGCGAGAGGTTTTCCCACGGACCGGAGGGGTGTGTGTGCTTGCATCCGGCAGATGAGGCTTCCTTGGTTTGCGTGGGGACCCCTGTCTTAGTTAATGAAAGTTTATTTATTTATTGCTTTAACGATAGTGACAAAAAAAGGAGAAAAGCAAAATATATTTACTGTAAAAAAAATACCTAGCAAGTTTAGCTAATGAAAGTTTATTTATTTATTTATTGCTTTAACGATAGTAACAAAAAAAAAAAAGGAGAAAAGCTGTTAACTTTAGTCACTAAACGAACTTGTTTGCAAGTCAAGGACTTCCTGTACTTAACGCCAGTTTCCCAAAACATCTGAAACAGTTTGAGGAGTGTTGATGTAAACCGCAGCCCTTATCAGTCAAACACAACAACACTTGCGTTTCACGGGTCTCCAATTCGGTGGATTTTTAATGCAACAGACAAGATGTGTTAAGTTGGACTCGCCCCAAGGAAGGGAATTTGGTTGTTTCTGAAGCTGTCCAAAGACCCACAATGATTTGTCCTCCATGCAATGCAAATTTTGTAAATAACATTATTATTATTATTATTATTATTATTATTATTATTATTATTATTATTATTGTTATTTATTGAATTTATATACCGCCCTATCTCCCTTACACCTATTTAAAATCAGTATTTCCACTCCGCCCAGGTGATCCAGCCAGTTGATGATTTACTGTAGGTCCTTTATTGATAAAGTTAATGTTTGAACTGCATGTTCTTCTTGAGTTTAACCTGTATTTTCCCTCCTCCACAAGGTAAAAAGAAAACTTTCTCGCAAAAGGAAGAAAGAAGGGCCAAAGGGAGGCAGGCTCCCAGCTTCTGCAAAACCCAAGAAACGTCCTCTGTAGGAACTGAAAATACTTCAGATCATCCAGCTTTCCGCTCTGAACACCGAAGGAAAAAAAAAACTGCTTCCCTTTCAGAGAAAATGAATCTGCAGGAACTCTTGAGAGAGGCTAAAAGCATCTGTTCTTATTTCCCCAGAGACTTTTTTATGAAAAGTCAATAATTAAGCAAATTGCTTAACACTAAAATTCCAGTTTCCGCACATCTGGAGTTTAAAAGTGTTTTACTCCATTAATTTTCATGCTGCATTTTTTTTTTTTTAAAAAAAAGAAAGTCAGAGAGAGGTCCTTATAGCATTGTTAAAAAAAAATATTCACATACCTTAATTGGGTATCACCCATCATCTTTTTTTTTTCTTTTTTCAAGAAAAAATAGGCTACCGAATGATATTTTTAATCCGAGACATAACTACACAACCGAATTCTCATCTGCTTTCGTTTTAAAGACTTATGTATAATTTTCTTCTTTTTATCCAGCAAAATAAGATGTACAGATTTTTGGTTCCTGCTTTGAGAAGTCACCTAGTGGCAATTTTTATACATGTTGCTTTCTGACTTTTATCAAGAGTAGGAGACTAATCATTTGATGATTGATTTTTCAAGTAGACATTTCATCTTTTTTTTTTAATTTCCTCCTCCATTTTAGTTTAATATAAGTTGCAATAAATGTACATATTGTTCGTTTTATAAAAAAAAAAACATATATCACTTCTGAGTGGGTTTACTCCTGTGGTTTTGTTGGAATATTCTAAATCTAAATGGAGTAAAGTCATCCCAGGATTTGATTTTATAATGTTTGTCACCAGATTTTTATTATTGATGTAAAAAAAAAAATCAATTTTTTAAAAAATAGTTGGGATTTTTGGCAGCTTTGTAAGGAACATTGAAAATGTTTAGGATTTCAAGCCTTGCCTTGATTGAAACTAAGTCTGTTTTACGTTTTCCTTCCCGACTCTTCTCATTTTTTAACATTTAATTTAGAGAACTTGCATCAATGTTGTTTTTTTTCTCTCCCCCCTCCCCCAGGCATTGTTCAGCATATAGTGTACGCTTTTAAAGTACACGCCATCATATTTAAGTTGGTTGCATAAAATAAATGCTTCTAGGTGTCATTTGGTATCTTTCTGCTTTTCCCCCAAGTGCACACAACCTTAGCAACTTTTAAGACTTGTGGACTTCAACTCCCAGAATTCCCCAGCCACAATGGAGCAACGTGATAAAGAGATTCCTTACCTTGTTGCGGATATTTCTTTCCCTGAAACACTAATACAATTTAAAGCGGTCCCCCCGCCCCCCCCCAAGATTTCAGGCCTGATCGGCACAAAGCAATTAAAACAGAAGGCAGGATTAAAATGGTAATAAATACAGATTTATTTTTTTCCCCTTTTTTTTACTAGAAAAGCCTACAAAGTTGAGCTGATCCAAAAGCAGCTGTCTGCAGCTCAGGGCAAAAGATATGTTTGGAAAAAGTATGTTTCAAGACTAGAAAGTGATGCCCTCGAAAGAAGCTTGTTTTGGGTTTTTGTTCCAACAGAACAGAACCAACGTAGAATATTCCTGCGGGATTTTTTTTTTTTAAACGAGGCGTTTTTGTTCCAAGCTTTAGAGCAGAGGTGTCCAAACCTTAGCATCTTTAAGACCTGTGGACTTCAATTGCCAGAATTCCCCACCCAGGTTCTTTGTATTGGGGGGTCTTTTGAGACTTCATACAATCTAAAAGATTCGTTACAAGGCGGAGGTGTGTATTCCCCCACCTTTAAACGTAACCATGGAGGGGCTCAAGGACCCAGCTCCAGTCTCCTGACTGTCTCCATCATCCCAAGCACTGTGGGCAGTACTCATTGGTCTTCACTGTTCTGACAAGCATCCACTGTGCTGGATCTGGAGTACGCGGGGACTTGTGCCAGCTCCCTCCATCGACACTGCCAAGTTTGAAAAGGACGAGCCATTTGCAAAACGGTGGGCGTTGCGGGTATGGAAACATCGACCGTTTTTCGTAGGTCTGCAAATCTAGAAAGTTGCAGCCTAATTCCTCATGTCAAAGTCATCGTTATTGCAATGAAAATTGACGCTCAAGAGTCAAGAGAACTCGGATGCAGGCTTGGATGTTGTGACAGCGGGTTCCAGGCACACGGAAGGAAATGCTGCCTCCGGTTAAGGTACGTCTGCAGAACGAACAGGGGCATCCAGTAGCCTTTGGTACAGCAAGGATGCCAAAATGAGGATGCCTGGAGCAACTTAAAACAGGAGATGATGGCGAAGAGATGCTGAGTTTCCATTTCAGATCTGGGTTTTACTTTCACATTACACCTGGCAATACTTTGTATTCCGAATTAGAATAGAATAGAATAGAAAGTAGAATGGAATGGAACGGAATGGAATGGAATAGAATAGAGAATGAGAATAGAATAGAGAATAGAATAGAGAATGAGAATTAGAATAGAATAGAATAGAATAGAGAATGAGAATAGAATTAGAATAGAATAGAGAATGAGAATAGAATTAGAATAGAATAGAGAATGGGATGGGAATAGAATAGAGAATGAGAATAGAACAGTAGAATAGAATGGAACAGAATAAACAATAGAATGGAACAGAATAGAACAAAACAAAATGTGGAATGAAATAGAATAGAAAATAACTTTATTGTCACTTTGAATGTACACTAATCGGCATCCGTTAAAATGAAATTTCATTGCATACAGCTCTCAAAGGGTCACCACCTCTGATATACACTACATAAATATGACAAAAATAGATAAGTACGGAATTATGCATATGCGACATAGAGAAACAACAGTCTAGTTCAGGTTATGTATACATGTGCATGGCGAGAAAAACGAATCTCATGAGTTTACCAGACAGATGGCAGTTAAAATGAGCGGGAAACCGAGAGACGCATGTGCCATTAACCATATTGGCGCCAACTCTTGAGATGGCAGCCCCTAGAGATAGAGGATGTAAAATGGAAGAGGCGGCCATCTTTGGAGTGGTTATTAATTAGCGTATGGCAAGTTAATAAGTTTTCATCTTGAAATATAAATTTGGAGACCTCAACTTTCTTGAGAAATCTACCGTGCTAGGCAGGTTGGAAAGGAAGGGAAAGGCAACATGCAGCAAGAATCAGGGGTCTTCAACCTTGGCCCTTTGATGACTTGTGGAGGAATTCTGGGAGTTGAAGTCCACAAGTCCTCAAAGGGCCACGTTTGAAGACCCCCGAGGAAGAGGAATGCGCTCAGTAACCCCAGCCATGGGTCACCGTTGGGAGACTTCAGCCATGGAAAGATTGTCCTGGAGAAAACCTAGCGCCTCGAGTTGTTTATAAAAAATAATAAAAGTGGTGTCAGAAGTTTTTTCTTGGTTCAGGTCTCCAGTTGGGAAGCAGACCTTCAGCTCAGGTGGAAGAGATGACAGGGAACGAAGCAAGTTGCCAGAAAGTAGGTTTATTTACAGAAACCAGACACCATACAATACAGCGGAGGTTCCTGGACTAGCTAGTCAATTCCCAAGGGGAGGGGATTCGTTCTTCTACCCCTCAAGTTATTGAAATTATGATTTGACTTCTGAAAGGATTATTGTTAAATTAATTCTATCTCGTTTGTGTCTGCTTTGGCCGGTAGTGATTAATGCTGTCTCCAGGAAGGCTTCTTTGTTCATGTAAATATGTTCCTATATGGTTCAGGTCTCTTTTTTGTTAGTGTTGCAAAAAAACCCATTGAGGTTGATGTGTCTTAATTGTTGCGCTGAGATAGGGGCTGGCAGATTCCCTTTCTCTTTTGCTTTTGGCAGTTTGCCCAGAATAGCTCAGGGGAGGGGAGTGAGGATGCCAGACAGGAAAGAGGGAAGAAAGGAAAGAGAGAAAGAAAGAGGAAAGAGAAAGAAAGGGAGAGGAAAGAGAAAAAGAGAGGAAAAAGGGAGAGGAAAGAGGAAAGAAAAATGATTGAGGAAAGAGGAAAGAGAAAGTTAGAGGAAAGAGAAAGAAGAAAGAGAGAGAGGAAAGAGAAAGAAAGGGAAGAGAAGGAAAGAGAGGGGGAGAGGAAAGAGGGAGAGAAAGGGAGAGGAAAGAAAAAAGAGGAAAGAAAAATGATTGAGGAAAGAGAGAGGAAAGAGACACACAGAGAGAGGCCCTTTTGACATCTAAAATGAGAGAAAGTTTTGACATCTAAAAAGGGAAAGTTAGAGGAAAGAGAGAAAGAAAGAGAAGAGAGAGGAAAGAGGAAAGAGAAAGAAAGGAAAGGGGGAGAGGAAAGAGAAAAAGAGAGGAAAGGGGGAGGAAAGGGGGAGAGGAAAGAGAAAAAGGAAAGAAAAATGATTGAGGAAAGAGAGAGAGGAAAGAGACACACACAGAGAGAGAGACCCTTTTGACATCTAAAATGAAGATAACACTGCATATATCCTTTTTTACCTTTATTTCATACTAGCTGTACCCGGCCATGCGTTGCTGTGGCTCAGTCTAGTAAAAGCATGTGTTGCTTTTACGTCCAACAGATGGCGCTGTTTTTCAAAAAAAGCATGTTTTTACCTGTCACAGGTGTGACATCTATATAATAGCAGGTATATAAAAACACGCGCGTATTCGAATGCAACGTTGTGTCAAAATTTCAAAGCAATCGGTGAAGAACTTTCGGAGATTTAAGATTTTGAACAAACGAACATTTACATTTTTATTTATATAGAAGATATACACACACACAAATACAAATATACATACATTGTACATATATACATATACACACAGACACACACATATATATTATATTACAGGTAAAAAAGGATATATGCAGTGTTATCTTCATTTTAGATATCAAAAGGGTTTTGTGGCTCCCAGTGTTTTGTTTTGTGCAACAGTGTTGGTTTGAGGTCAAGGCACTCTCTTCCCCCCACCCCCCCAGTGGAGCCGCATCCTTGGGCCGGGGTCTTCATGGGCTTGGACTTCAAAGCCCATCAGCCCCTAGTGCTGGCTGGGGATGCTGGCGCTGCAGTTCCAGCCTTAACCTCGGGGCAAAAAGGCTTCGCAATGCGCTACCCGGAAGCGGAAGAGCCGCCCGAGAACGTCAAGGAGAACATCAAGTCGCCTCGGAGGCGGGCTCTTCGTTGCCGCGGCGACCGCCTTCCGAAAAGGGCACGTGACCGCCGGCACCTCCCCTTTGGTTTCCCTCGCCCGTTTAGGCAGGACGGCGCATGCGTCGCCCCGGACCCCTTCTGGCCGAGGGACGGGCAACTCGGTAGAAAACCGGAAGTGAACGTTTCCCCAACCCGGAAGTTCTCGTGAGGAAAGGCGGCCGAGGGCTTCACGGTGAGGAGGGGCGTAGGGAAGGGGCTGGGGCCCCGCCCACAATGAGGGGGGGGCGTGAGGCCCCATCCTCTCGCCTCCTGCAGCTGGCGGGTGTTGTAGTCCGGCCTGCTCTAGGGTTTCCTGCCCGAGCAGGGGGTCGGACTAGAAGACCTCGAAGGCCCCTTCCCCGCTCTGTCACTCTGCTAAGCTCTTCGGGCGGCCTCGGCCTGCAGGGAAGCTCGTGAGCGGTGGGACGTGCAGGTGAGCAGAGGGGCTCCCTCGGGCCCTCCCCCATTGGAAGGAAGGACGCCGAGGGTGGCAGAGAGAGGGCGATGGAGGGGGGGGGCGGAGGGGATTTGCCCCTTCTCTCCCTTCCTCACGACGCCAAGGAGAAACGGGGAAGGGGCCCAGGGAGGCTGGTGGGCTGGGGGCTGTTGTGCTTGAGAAGGAACCCATCCACCAATCAGAAAAGAGCTGGAAGGGACCTTGGAGGTCCTCTAGTCCAACCCCCTGGTCAGGGAGGAGAGCCTACATCAGGGGTAGGCAGCCTTGGCTCTTTTATGACTGGTGGACTTCAACTCCCAGAGTTCCTGAGCCAGCCATGCTGAGGGGAAAGGGAGAGGTTTCCATGCTTAGCCATGCTGGCTCAGGAATTCTGGGAGTTGAAGTCCACGAGTCATAAAAGAGCCAAGTTGGCCTACCCCTGCTATCATTTCAGGAAGATGGCAAGCAGTGTGGCCTAGTAGTCAGGGCGATTAGTGGCACCCCAGAGACGCAAGTCTCGCCCAGCCTCAGCTCTGAAAACCCCTGGGATGACCCTCGCACAGGCAGGAGGCAGTGCTGGGCGGCCCTTCTTGAACCCCAGTAGTAAAGGTAACATAAGCTAGCAGATAAAGATGCCCCCCCCCTTAAAAATAAAACTTAAATCTGAGAATGGAATATATGGTTTGAATTAGACAGTATAACGTCCTCGGCCACCCTCTTTGCTGCAACTGCTGATGTCGTGGGGTCCTGTGCAGGGGATCGGATGCCCCGGATTTACTTTGTCATTGTGTAAGTGGAAAATGGGAGCACAGAGTAGTTCTTGACTTAACAACAATCCAAAGTTACAACAGCACTGGAAATAGTTTTTAAAAAGGACTGTTTTTCACACTTCACGACCAATTGCAGCACACACACACACAGACACACACCATGGTCACGCGATCCACAATTGGATCTATTTCCGCCCTTGATTTTGTTTGGAGAAACTGCTGAGGGATGTTCCTTTTATCTTGAATTCCAGGCCCTTCCAGAGAAGAACGTGGAATGTGCTTGGGTCTACGCAGAGACAGCCATCCGCTGTGCGTGGCTTCCGTGTACATGCCGGGGCCTCCGAGGTCCAGACAGCTGTGGCCGTAAACGGAGTAAGGAGCTTTATTTTAATACATGACCTGCCCTGCCTCCCTTTCTACAGGGAGAAATTTTCTTTGTCTAAGGCTACAAAAGGTCATCTACACTAAAGTGGTGTCCTCTAGGTGTGGACCGCTTCCGCCATCCCCAACTGACCGAATTTCTAGTGGGGGGTGGGATACTACAGGTAGTCATCGACTTACAACAGTAGTGACCATTCAAAATTACAACAGCACTGAAAAAAGGGACTTAACGACCGTTTTTCACACTTACATTGCAGCATTCCCATGGTCACCTGACTGAAATTCGGATGCTTGGCAACTGGCTCATATTTATGACGGTCACAGTGTCCCGGGGCCAGTTGTGGTTGTAAGTTGAGAACTACCTGTACACTGATATGAAACACACACACACACACACACACCTGGATTTCCTATTAGGTCACCTGGCTTCTGCTTGTCCCATTCTCCCCCTGCCTGGCTGAGGAACTCTCGGAGTTGAAGTCCACAAGTCATCAAAGGGCCAAGTTTGAAGACCCCTGTCTTAAATCTAACAAACAAAATGGAGGCTGGCTGAGGAATTCTGGGAATTGAAGTCCACAAGTCATCAAAGGGCCATGTTTGAAGACCCCTGTCTTAAATCTAACAAACAAAATGGAGGCTGGCTGAGGAATTCTGGGAATTGAAGTCCTCAAGTCATCAAAGGGCCAAGTTTGAAAACCCCAGTATTAGACCAACGTGGAGAGCCAATAGCAGGAGGAACACATCAGGCAAAGAGGATGTCCTTGGATGGAATGCCCATAACACGTTTGGCACCCTCCTTCAAATTCCTGGAAGACGGTGTTGTCATCAGGAGCAACTCCTTTGACAGCCATCTCATCCTGCCCCGCAGGAGAAGAGCTTGTTCGGATTGGTTCTTTAGGTCCAGGTTAGGTTCTTCATCCTCCTCTTCTATCTTCTTCACAACAGTCCTGTCAGGTAGGATGGACTGGGGAAGAACAGGATGGGTTCCAAAAAGACTCCCATGGCTGGCGGCGAACCGAGATTCTAGAACTTTGCGTTCCTGGTCTAACACGTCAACCGTTCCAACGCGCTTCCATCTCGGTTTCTTGAGTCCAACTTGTTGCCTTGGCCGGGAAGAGGTTCTCCAGAGGCCAGCAGCTCAAACGGAAGAACCGGGGTAAGGAGCACAAGGCCGAAAGCCAGAGAGCTGCCGAGGAAAAGTTGTGTGGCTTGGCCGTCAGGCAGTCTATGGAGCCGAGGTTCTTCCCTGGCCAAGCTTCCACCATCACGCACCTCCAGCTCTATCTTCAGGTGTTGAGAGGTCTCACCTGCTCCGCTTTACCCCACAAGAGGTGATTGGCCAGGGCCATCCTTCATTTCCTCTACTGTCCCATTTCCTCCTCAGCAGTTCTGGGCCTTTGGAGACATACACCCTATAGGAGGGACTCTGTGGGCCAAAACACACACATACACACACCAGGGAAATTGCAAGAAATTAAGGGCTGGGTTTTACGTCTCCCGTCCTCTGCATGCTGGTTTTTTTTTTTTTTTCATGCCAGGGCTGATCTCTTTGTGGTGCTGCAGCCGCTGCCACACCTACTGCTAAACCAAGAGTAAGCATTTTAATTGCTAGGAGCACCGTCCCTCTCAGAATGCCTGCTCATTCAAGGTCATCCCACCCACACATACACACACGCAAAAGGGATGTGGTTCCTGTAAGCTCTCCACTGAACTGCCTGCAATCTTCGAGCAAAAATGTCGCTCCAGTTTGTCCGCCTGCAAGCGGGGCTTCCTTCAAGTCTACCTTTTTCATCCCCCCCCTCCCCACCCCTGCATCTCCTGCTGCTTACCCCATCATCGTCTCCTCCAATGCCATCAGCCTTTGCTTCCAGCAATGTTTTGTGTAGTCCATGTGGTCTGCAGATGAGAAGGATGAACTGCTGTTGAATAATTTTTGTGTGCCTCGGCCCCCCCACCTCCCGTGTCGTCCCTGCTCTGCTGGGTTGACCTGCTACCTGGGCCAGAGTGACGTGGCTGCCGCAAGAGATGAAGTCCATTGTAGAAGTTGACCGATAACAAGGCCGTTGAGCCCACGAGGAGCCCCCATCTCAAAAGGGACTGGAGGCTAAAACATACAAGGAACGGTTGCTGGAATTGGGGATGTCTAGTTTAATGAAGGGAAGGACGAGGGGGGACATGATAGCAGCCTTCCAGTATCTCAGGGGCTGCCCCAAAGAGGGAGTCAAGCTATTCTCCAAAGTGCCTGAAGGCAGGACAAGAAGCAACGGGTGGAAACTAACCAAGGAGAGAAGCAACCTAGAACTAAGGAGAAACTTCGTGACAGTGAGAACAATTAACCAGTGGAACAACCTGCCTCCAGAAGCGGTGAATGCGCCAACACTGGAAGTTTTTAAGAAGAGACTGGACCGCCATTTGTCTAAAATGGTATAGGGTTTCCTGCCTGAGCAGGGGGTTGGACTAGATTATTATTATTATTATTATTAAGATTCCCGTGGCTGCTAAGTCAGGTGGGTCGTACGAATTGTCGTCGGCCAAAGAAGCGTATTTATCTGCAATTAAATGGTCCAATAGGAGCCAAAAGATTCCTGTTGCCTTTTCCAAAATAGGATGCTGACTCTTGTGTCTTGTTTGCGAAGTTTACTCACGTGGCGGCCTATTCCTTTTCGTTTATTCTGGCTTGCAGTTTCGTCGCTCCGTTAATTCCCCAAATGAAGCCCAAGGAAAACGACGCATTATAGACATCCGACAGCTTTCTATAAAATTACTACTAAATGCTGCTGGAAAAAAACACGGGTCTCCGATTAGATCAGCTGGAATGGGGAAACTTTTATTTGTCAATAGTCAGTAGTACAGTACTCCACACCTTGAACAGGATCTTGTAGTAGGGAAAGAAGAGCGGGCATCCAAGAGGGACTTTTTTGCACTTGTTAAGATTTGCTGAGGTCTCTGGGAAAAACAGCTTTTCTGAATTACTAATCGATCCCAACTCTCTTTGAGAAAGATTCCTGCGTCACTAAAGCTGGATGGGACGGTCTAGCCCAGGGTTGTGTTCTGTGCAGGAGAAATTACGGCAACGTTGTGCGGAGCGAGAGCATGACGCAGCAGCACAGGTACATCCCAGGTCCAAAAGCTCGCTCGGTTTATACTTCATAATATTAATTTTTTTTAAAAAAAGCTGAAAATTTAGCCAAGGTTCATCGTTTCCAAGTCGTTGCTACCCTGACAGCCTTTAACCTGTTCCACTCAAGTTGTTTCCCAAGCCCGACACAAGTGTCTAGTCCCTCACGTTGCCAGTTGTTATCAGCCTTGGTTAAACAAGCATAGGCCAATGTGGTTTTTCCTTTCTCCATAAACCTTTATTCACTTAATTATGGTTGAAGCGTGAAGGACACTTGGTACTTCTACCGTTTCCGTGGAAAATTGGCTCTCCCATCTTTCAATGTCCCACTCTCTTGTGTATAAGTTAAAGGTAGGCCAAAATTATCACTGCAAGCAAGGAACAGCTGAACAGGTAGTCCCCGACTTACAACAGGTTGTAAGTGAGACATTAGTTAAAGTGAATTTTACCGCATTTTAACTGCCCTTCGTGCCACAGCTATAAGTGAATCACCGCACCTGATAAGTTAGCCACACGGTTGTTAAGTCCCCCCCTTGACTTTGCCTATCAAAAGGCCGCAAAAGGGGATCGCGTGACCCCAGGACACCGCAACAGTCCTAAGTACATGCCAGTTGCCGAGCCTCTGGATTTTGATCACGTGATCATGGGGCTGCTACAAAGGCCGTGTGAAAAAAATGGGTCACGGGCCGCTTTTTCCAGTGCTGTTAACTTTGAACGGTCACTAAACGAATCGTTTGTAAGTCCAGGACTACCTGTGTGTATATCACAAGCGCTGTCCTGCGTTCAAGGCTTTCCTAATGTCATTTTGACATAAACCACAGAATCTTCCTTAGATTTATCAAAATATAAAAGCAAGAGACGTTTTATCCCAGCTAAACTACTTCCGAGTTCTTCCTTTTAATGATGCGTAAAGAACAAGGAAATATGAAATCTGTGTTTACACAATTACCACCAGGGTAAATAATATCGTGAGGACCTCATCAAAACATAGACCATTAAAAAAAAAAAAAAGTACAAACACAAATGGCAAATTGTCATGGCTGCGTTTGCCCCAGCTAAGATTTTAACAAAAATGTTGAGCAGCAACAATTATTATTATTTTTTTAAAAAAAAATAATAAATATCAAAGAAATACCAACCAAAAAATAAAAGTCACATTTCCTTTGGCTTCTGCCAGTGATTTACATGACTGTAAGATAAATCACACAATCAACTGGATGCAGAAATGGGATGTGAAAAAGCAGTGCCTCATATTGCACAAATAATTATTATTTTCTGCGTCATCATATCCGAGACGGTCGATAATTTGAATATCTTGCAGAAGGGAACCCTGCACGCCCATCTTGACTGCTCATTATTATTATTATTATTATTATTTAACAGTAATGTAACGTACGACAAGATTAGCAAAAACTACCGGTAGCCCATTGCCTGTTCTTCAATTAAAACACAAGATTATTAATGTAAACATTTCTATCTACAGTACATAAGAAATTGGACTGAGGGAAATAATTCCATTATGCTCCATGTGTGCTATTGCATTTCGCTGAGAAGAATTTGCAGGGCAGCGCCGAAATTTCCACAAAAAGTAGGTGTTTTGGCCTTCTAGAAAACTTAACAAGCTGGAGTGTTCAGATCTCTCAAGTGAATACAAAGATACACTGTTCTTTTAGCAGGACCGTTCATCCTGGAGAAATTTACTACCGACATTTAACATATATGTACAGTAAAAAACAAAAAACAAAAAACCAAGATTTCCAAATGTCAGCTAGGGAAAAATGCACACAAGGGTGTGTGTGTGTGTGTCTTGCACAACCCTTTATAAGCAACTGCTAATTATGTCCCAAAAGCCGACAGCGTCACAGCGTAGGCTAATATAAAAAAAACAACGGGTGGCATTCTCAACGTTAACAGAGACCCAGTTCTTTTCAGTAAATTCATTCTAGCCAGAATTTATTGAAAGAGGTTCGATTCCTGCGAAAGAAATAAAACAGCAGCTCCACCGGTTTGTGCTATGTCCAAAGATACCAAACCTTTATACAATTGTGTAGAAATTACAACGCTGGAAACACTCGTACGGGGTTATTAATTCAAAAAGAGAACCACGCGAAGTGGGGAAACTAGGCTAGATGGCACCGATTAACCCCACAAACTCTGGAGAGGTCCTAGTGTGTGGTTATTGCCACTGTGCGTGCAGCTGAAAGAGGGGGGGGGCTGGGAAGGAGGAAGGTGTCCGGAGTTGTTAACCCCGAAGGTGGCGCAAATATCAGAGTCAGCCCCCCCAGTATTTTGAGTTTCCGAAACCCGCCTGGAAAATCTTTAGGCCAAAAAAAAAAAAGTTACAAGGATGAATACTCAAGTACTCCGAGCGGTGTTTTGTTCACTTCGCCCCCAATTGCTTAAAGTGTCTATGTAAAGTACAAGCATGCAAATATAAGGTCAGTCCACAGGCATGTAGGATCCATTTCCCCCCAAAAAAAAACCCCCCAAAAAACACGGTAAGGGAGCCGGGATGGGTGACATCAACGCTTGATGATTACAGACACAACCTGATGTGTTTCTGAATAAAAGTCAAAAAAAATAAAATAAATCCTGATGCAAATTCCTGTCTCGGTCGCGCCGCTAACGCTACGGAAGAACACAGTTTCGTCCCCACCAAGTTGTTTTTTTTCCGATTTTAGCCAAGCTCCAGGAATAAACAATATTTAGTAAGGGAAAAAAAAAAAAAACAAACCCCAAAAAAAATTAAAGTATTTCCCCCTTGGTTTTTTTTTTTTGTTGTTTTTTTGTTTAAAATTTACACAGATGTTTAATTAGCTTTATTTACAGAGCAGTTTTTTTGTTTTTGTTTTTGTTTTCAGTCTCCAATAGGGCCTAGATAGCATCAGGCGAGAATGCCAGTGTTTGTTTGTTTTTTTTAAAAGAGAATCTATATTGAAACCTAAAAAGAAGAGACAAGAGGTGGTGACGCTCCTCCAGAACAGGCAGGCTGGGCTACGCTGAAGCAGTTTCCGCACAGGGCTCAGTTACTCAGAAGTAGTTCTGTCGCTCTCTCTACATCCCATGATTTTGATGACAAGGCCACTATTACCGCGTTCTGCAAAAAAAGAAAAAAAGACAAAAAAGCAACTGAGGTCAGAAGAGGCCCCTGTACTTAAAAACAAAAACAAAAAACCCACAATTTTCACCTGGCCGTAATAGAAAGCACACCTCCGACAAGGGCTAAACCAGAGGTAGGCAACTTTGGCTCTTTTATGACTCCTGGACTTCAACTCCCAGTATTCCTGAGCCAGCCACGCTGAGGAGAAAGGAAGAGGTTTCCAAGTTGAGCCATGCTGGCTCAGGAATTCTGGGAGTTGAAGTCCACCAGTCATAAAAGAGCCAAGGTTGCCTACCCCTGCTCTAAACTAATAAAGTCTACATTAATTTAACGTTAATTATACTTTCATATGTTCCTCTAACTGAGGGGTCTTCAAACTTGGCTCTTTTATGACTCGTGGACTTCAACTCCCAGAATTCCTGAGCCAGCCATGCTGAGGGGAAAGGAAGAGGTTTCCAAGCTGAGCCACGCTGGCTCAGGAATTCTGGGAGTTGAAGTCCACGAGTCATAAAGCGGCCTAGGCCTAGGCCAGAGGTAGGCAACCGTGGCTCTTTTATGACTGGTGGACTTCAACTCCCAGAATTCTTCAGCCAGCATGGCTCAACTTGGAAACCTCTCCGTTTCCCCTCAGCGTGGCTGGCTCAGGAATTCTGGGAGTTGAAGTCCACGAGTCATAAAGGGGCCATAGTTCCCCCATGCTGGCTCAGGAATTCTGGGAGTTGTAGTCCACAAGTCATCAAAGAGCCAAGGTTGCCTACCTCTGGGCTAAACTGAAGCAAGAGACTTAGCACAGAACCGCATTGAATGCAGCTCCACGAAATTTCTCAAGCAGCAGAAGCTCCCACAGAAAAGAAACTACTGAACAGGGGGTCTTCAAACTTGGCCCTTTTAAGACTTGTGGACTTCAACTCCCAGAATTCCTCAGCCATGAAGTCCTCAAGACATAAAAGGGACAAGTTTGAAGAATCCTGCTCTACTCAGTCTAGAATTCACCTAGATCAGAGGTCTTCAAACTTGGCCCGTTTATGACTTGTGGACTTCAACTCCCAGAATTCCTCAGCCAGGCACGCTGGCTGAGGAATTCTGGGAGTTGAAGTCCACAAGTCATAAAAGGGCCAAGTTTGAAGACCCCTGGTACAGATAATCCTGGACTTAACATTTGTTTTGTTGCCGTTCCAAGTTACAACGGCACCAGGAAAAAGTGACTTAGGACCATTTTTTGCACTTACAACCTGTGGCGGCATCCCCAGGGTCACGCGATCAAAATTCAGAGGCTCGGCAACCGGCATGTACTTAGGACGGTTGCAGTGTCCCGGGGGGGGGGGAGATCACGTGATCCTCCTTTTGCGACCTTCTGATCAGCCGAGCCAATCAGGAAGGCAGATTCACCGAACAAGCGTGTTAGAGCCGCCGTGATTCGCTTAAGAACGTTGGGAAGAAAAGTCAGGACGTGGGGCAAAAATTCACTTAACAACTGCCCTAGTTAGCAGTGGAAATGGGCTCAGCTGTGGCCGTAAGTCAAGGACTACCTGTAATTCTGGATCTTAGAAAAAGAGATTGGGTTAATAAAATAAAAAATAAAAAAATGTAGCGCACTTGGCAACGGTGGCAGTACGAGAAGGCGAGGCTTACCCTATCAAATCCCATAGCACAAAGATTTTCTATCTTCTTGGTATATTCCGGACTAGAAACTGGTGCTCCAGCGTAAACGTGCGCCCAAAGCCGAGCTGTCTGTTTAAACATTTCTGAATTCTGTTTGTACTGTGTCAAAGGGAAAAAAAAGAAAGAGAGAGAAAAAGACCACTTGAAATCTTGCAGAAAGGACACAATCTGTATCTGCTGTGGAGAAATGTGTAAATGTGTAATACTCTGGATGTCATATGTCTGATTAACGAAACACTAAAAAGGACTTTCAGGCATATTTTCTCCTAAAAGCATTTATTAATGTTAAAGATACGTCAGCACAATATGGAGGAAGTGCTTAGGACTGGCTTCTTTTCCGCTAGGCATATATTTNTTTTCAGTCTCCAATAGGGCCTAGATAGCATCAGGCGAGAATGCCAGTGTTTGTTTGTTTTTTTTTTTAAAAGAGAATCTATATTGAAACCTAAAAAGAAGAGACAAGAGGTGGTGACGCTCCTCCAGAACAGGCAGGCTGGGCTACGCTGAAGCAGTTTCCGCACAGGGCTCAGTTACTCAGAAGTAGTTCTGTCGCTCTCTCTACATCCCATGATTTTGATGACAAGGCCACTATTACCGCGTTCTGCAAAAAAAAAAAAATAAAGACAAAAAAGCAACTGAGGTCAGAAGAGGCCCCTGTACTTAAAAAAAAACAACAAAAAACCCACAATTTTCACCTGGCTGTAATAGAAAGCACACCTCCGACAAGGGCTAAACCAGGGGTAGGCAACCGTGGCTCTTTTATGACTGGTGGACTTCAACTCCCAGAATTCCTGAGCCAGCCATGCTGAGGGGAAAGGGAGAGGTTTCCAAGCTGAGCCATGCTGGCTCAGGAATTCTGGGAGTTGAAGTCCACCAGTCATGAGGAGGCCATAGTTCCCCCATGCTGGCTCAGGAATTCTGGGAGTTGAAGTCCCCGAGTCATAAAGCGGCCTAGGCCAGAGGTAGGCAACCGTGGCTCTTTTATGACTGGTGGACTTCAACTCCCAGAATTCCTGAGCCAGCGTGGCTCAGCTTGGAAACCTCTCCCTTGCCCCTCAGCATAGCTGGCTCAAGAATTCTGGGAGTTAAAGTCCACGTGTCATAAAGGAGCCATAGTTCCCCCATGCTGGCTCAGGAATTCTGGGAGTTGTAGTCCACGAGTCATCAAAGAGCCAAGGTTGCCTACCCCTGGGCCAGGGGTAGGCAACCTTGGCTCTTTAATGACTCGTGGACTACAACTCCCAGAATTCCTGAGCCAGCCACGCTGAGGGGAAAGGGAGAGGTTTCCAAGCTGAGCTATGCTGGCTCAGGAATTCTGGGAGTTGAAGTCCACGAGTCATAAAAAAGCCAAGGTTGCCTACCCCTGCCCTGGGCTAAACTGAAGCAAGAGACTTAGCATAGAACCGCATTGAATGCAGCTCCACGAAATTTCTCAAGCAGTAGAAACTCCCACAGAAAAACTACTGAACAGGGGTCTTCAAACTTGGCCCATTTATGACTTGTGAACTTCAACTCCCAGAATTCCTCAGCCAGGCATGCTGGCTGAGGAATTCTGGGAGTTGAAGTCCACAAGTCATAAAAGGGCCAAGTTTGAAGACCCCTGGTACAGATAGTCCTGGACTTAACATTTGTTTTGTCGACGTTCCAAGTTACAACAGCACCGGGAAAAAGTGACTTAGGACCCTTTTTCGCGCTTACAACCTGTGGCGGCATCCCCAGGGTCACGTGATCAAAATTCAGAGGCTCGGCAACCGGCATGTACTTAGGACGGTTGCAGTGTCCCGGGGGGGGGGGGGAATCACGTGATCCTCCTTTTGCGACCTTCTGATCAGCCGAGCCAATCAGGAAGCCAGATTCACCGAACAAGCGTGTTAGAGCCGCCGTGATTCGCTTAAGAACGTCGGGAAGAAAAGTCAGGACGTGGGGCAAAAATTCACTTAACAACCGCCCTAGTTAGCAGTGGAAATGGGCTCAGCTGTGGCCGTAAGTCAAGGACTACCTGTAATTCTGGATCTTGGGAAAAGAGATTGGGTTAATAAAATAAAAAATAAAAATTTTTAGCGCACTTGGCAACGGTGGCAGTACGAGAAGGCGAGGCTTACCCTATCAAATCCCATAGCACAAAGATTTTCTATCTTCTTGGTATATTCCGGACTAGAAACTGGTGCTCCAGCGTAAACGTGCGCCCAAAGCCGAGCTGTCTGTTTAAACATTTCTGAATTCTGTTTGTACTGTGTCAAAGGGAAAAAAAAGAAAGAGAGAGAAAAAGACCACTTGAAATCTTGCGGAAAGGACACAATCTGTATCTGCTGTGGAGAAATGTGTAAATGTGTAATACTCTGGATGTCATATGTCTGATTAACGAAACACTAAAAAGGACTTTCAGGCATATTTTCTCCTAAAAGCATTTATTAATGTTAAAGATACGTCAGCACAATATGGAGGAAGTGCTTAGGACTGGCTTCTTTTCCGCTAGGCATATATTTCTAAGCATTTCCCTCCCACCTTTCTTTGGGGTCATGGTTCACATCTTCCAATCAACTTGGAAGATGTGATTTACTTCCGGTTTCTTTTTCCCCTTCTGCCTGGTTTAACTATAAAAATGCCAGACAGCTCTGCATGTTGTCAAAGCAAGAATATACAGTATTTGCAGCGTTGACACTGACTTTTCCCTCGGAAAGAAGATGCAAGCCAGCAAGGGGGGAAGGAAAAAAAAAAAAAAAGCATATTTTTCACTAGCTTGTTTCCGGATTTTTAAAGCTTCTCTTCCTGGGAGGAAAAAAAAAAAAAGCAGCCTTGAAAAAGCGGATTTTCTAAAAGGAAACGGGATCAAAAAGTTGTACCTGGTTTGCCACGACTGCGTCTTGTGGGTCGTCCGGTTCCGCGGCTGCCAAGAGGGCTTGCAAGGATAACAACACTGTTCTTAAAGTCATCGCTGCAGCCCTGGGGGAAAAAAAAAACAAAAAATGGGTTGGAATTGAGTTCACACGTACACCCCGGCTGTAGATTATGGGGGATAGCGATCGTTGCGCGGAACCTTACCACTGATCTTTTAGGATATCCAAACAGATAGCTCCAGTGACTGAGCTAATATTAGGATGCCAGATTTTGGTAATAAACCGCACCTAAAACAGAAAGAGAAGCGGTGCTGAAAACAGGTCCTACGTAATGGGATAAGTACCGTACTGCAGCGGTGCCCCCAACCTTTACAACTCTGTGGACTGTAGTAGGGATGGTTTCGTGGGTGTGCATGTCACTTACACAAATGCAGCTCTTGTGTGTTTGCCCGCCACGTCGGGTTCCCAACGGGCCACAGCCTGGCCCCAGGGCCACGGACAGGGGTTGGGGATCCCTGCCGTACAGGACAATTTTACAGTGTTTTAATGGACAATGTTGGCTGGTCCCCAAAGCAGTGATAATCTAACATCTGGGTTCTTCGGATTCAGACTTGTATTTATTTTGAATTCATGTTTGTGTTCTGTGCTCCGACGTAGCCAAAACCTTCATCTAGAGTTTTGAGAAAAACTGCCCCCGGATATTGGTTGTACTGTCAAAGAGTTGTATTTTGCCCCTGTGACAAAAGACAGCCCGCTGCTACAGCCTACAATCACAGTCCACTCATTCAGACCTTCTCACAAGGCCACAAAACCAGACTAATGTAAAGTGCCTGGCTGAGGAATTCTGGGAGTTGAAGTCCACCAGTCATAAACGGGCCAAGTTTGAAGACCCCCTGAGCTAGGAGAATTCTAGACCGAGTAGAGCAGGGGTCTTCAACTTTGGCCCTTTTATGACTCGTGGACCTCAACTCCCAGAATTCCTGAGCCAGCATGGGGGAATTATGGCCCCTTCATGACTCGTGGACTTCAACTCCCAGAATTCCTGAGCCAACATGGCTCAGCTTGGAAACTTCTCCCTTTCCCCTCAGCGTGGCTGGCTCAGGAATTCTGGGAGTTGAAGTCCACGAGTCATAAAAGGGCCAAGTTTGAAGACCCCTGACCTAGGCCTAGGCCGCTTTATGACTCGTGGACTTCAATACCCAGAATTCCTGAGCCAGCTTGGCTCAGCTTGGAAACCTCTCCTTTTCCCCTCAGCGTGGCTGGCTCAGGAATTCTGGGAGTTGAAGTCCACGAGTCATAAAAGGGCCAAGTTTGAAGACCCCTGACCTAGGCCTAGGCCGCTTTATGACTCGTGGACTTCAATACCCAGAATTCCTGAGCCAGCTTGGCTCAGCTTGGAAACCTCTCCCTTTCCCCTCAGCGTGGCTGGCTCAGGAATTCTGGGAGTTGAAGTCCACCAGTCATAAAAGGGCCAAGTTTGAAGACCCCTGACCTAGGCCGCTTTATGACTCGTGGACTTCAATACCCAGAATTCCTGAGCCAGCTTGGCTCAGCTTGGAAACCTCTCCCTTTTCCCTCAGCGTGGCTGGCTCAGGAATTCTGGGAGTTGAAGTCCATGAGTCATAAAAGAGCCAAGGTTGCCTACCCCTGGCCTAGGCTCCTTTTTAAAAATGTGTTGCTATTTGTAAGAATTGAGTGAAAGAAATACAGCTTCACTGGATCATTTAAATTAAAGCTCTTAATTGTATTAGTTGTCATCGATTCTCACACTGCCCACAGATGAGAATATAGAAATTCTGTACAAATTCTGTACAATTATTATTATTATTATTATTATTATTATTATTATTATTATTATTATTATTATTATTATTATTTCTTTATTATTATTGTTACAGGGAAAAACCTTACTTCGGCAATTTGCTACAGTTTTATCACTGATCTATTGGGCTTTTTTTTTTTTTAAGTATCCAAGAAAAATGAAACATTTTCACCTAACATTCTCACTGAACACATAAACAAGCATATACTGTATACAATTTACTACTATTATCCTTGACCATTAGAAGAAGCATTCTCATTAAAAATTCTTATTGAATTGAAAGGACATTAGTACAGGTTGTCACACTTAACGCAAAGAGACAACGAATTATTTTTACACAATTGGGAGTTTTGTCGTACAGTAAAGCGTTTCATAAGCAGGGATTTTTTGACAAAGCATCATAAAAGATAAACTGGGGGTTTTTTTGGGGGGGAGACTGTATTCAATTAGAAAGACCTTGGAGGGGCAGACAGGACAAATAAATAAAAAAAAAACACTGCATAAAAAGGTTTCAACTCTAAAGAAAGAATCCAAAGAATTATTCACAATAATTATGTTCACCATACCTTAGGGGGATTAAAAGGATACGTTTCTGGAATTTTTATTTCTAATTGATATCTTCCTCCTATAAAAACCAGAAGATATAACCACACTAAATACTTATCAGACATTAATTTTTCACAGCATTGAACTTTCTTTTATGTTAAAAAAAAAACACAATAGGATTTTTAAAAGTTTCCTTTAGTTCTAAGGCAGGATGGGCTCCTTTTATAATGGAGCTGGAAATTGTACTGATTGCCTTCCAGCCTGTTTACCCCTACCATTATAACTATTAGACAGAGTTTACTCAGTTTGCAAACCCCTTGAGGTGGAAATCCTTTAGAGCATCACCTGTAATACCACAGTAATTGCTTGTATTTGTTCCTGTTGTCTTTTAAGCTCTTGGCACCTGGCTCAATTTATGAAAAGCTGTAATGAAATCCTCCATTTGATTGAATGAGGCTGAGGCTATATCCCAATACTCCAGTGACAATTTAACAAGAAGCAGACACAAATTTAGAAGAAAAAACTGAGGCCATAAAATTAATCCCCCCCAAAACAAGTGACAAGGACAATTATTAGGAGTAGCCAGATCTCCCAGGATCCCCCATGGAGCACGGACGCAAGAATTATCAGAATTTCTCTGCAAAAGATTGAAAAAAGTTTGGATAGGACCTAGAGAACAGGGTCCAACCTTGGCAACTTTAAAGACACGTGGACTTCATCTCCCAGAATTCTCCAACCAGCCATGCTGGTTGGGGAATTCTGGGAGCTGAAGTCCACAGGTCTTAAAAATGTCACGTTTAGACATCTCTCATCGTAAAAATGGCAGAGAAAGAGAGGCAGGTGACCGGTGTGAAAAGGATGACATTTTCTGGATGAAAGTCCAGCGATCTTGCTCGCTTACGCAAACGGGTCACTGAGGCAGTTTTATTAGGTAACTGCTTACCGAAAAACGAGAAAAAGACGACGACGGTGGTGGCCCTCCAAATGTGATTCATTTTGCTTCAGCAAAAAGAACATTTTTTTGAGTAGAAGGCTGTTTCTGAGTCACCGTTCCTTAGGCTAGCCATAAAATGAACTAAAAGCTGTGCAGACTGACAGTCTGACAAGGGCCAAGAGGGAAAGAAAAAAAATGGATCCTGAGTGAACATCCAGTAGGAACGTTATAGCCGTATTTCCTGCGTAGACATTCAAGTTTGCACGATCGCGCCTAAGGACAGATGTTTTTCTACCTGGAGCCAGGATCAAGCCGGCAATCTATATGAGGGGCCTCCACAGAAACCACAAAAAGAATGAAAAGGAAAAAAAAAAATCTGAATGGGGATGTCATTATTTTGAAGGAAGAAAAAAAGAAATAACTTAAGGGTTCTCCCAAAAAACCCCTATATTAAAATGAAAACAGGTCTCCACAGCTATTTGCTAACCGTTTTAAATGAATATCCAAGTCTTTAAATCAGGGATGGGGAACGATGACCCCCTTTATGACTTGTGGACTTCAGCTCCCAGAATCCCTCAGCCAGCTATGCTGGCTGAGGGATTCTGGGAGCTGAAGTCCACAAGTCATAAAGGGGGCCATTATTTCCCCACCTTTGCCTTAAACCAGGAGTCTTCAAACTTGGCCCTTTTATGACTTGTGGACTTCAACTCCCAGAATTCCTCAGCCAGCGTGCCTGGCTGAGGAATTCTGGGAGTTGAAGTCCACAAGTCATAAAAGGGCCAACTTTGAAGACCCCTGCCTTAAATGAAGGAAGATGCATTGTGCTTTCAAAAAAGTGTTTTCCCTTAAGGTACATTGTGTCCTGACTACAGTTCCAAGCATTTGTCTTTCATATATTTTTTTAGGACAGCTTTTCACCAAGCAAACTACTTATTTTATATAAACGGAACGACACAGATCTCAATGTACTTAAACTTTCTATATATTTGCTTATCAACAGATTCCCCACCAGCTGCCTGGGGATTTTGTTGCTAGGCTGAGTCAAGGAAGGGAAGGTGAGAAAAGAAACAATAAATAAAAGAGCCGAAAAACCTGTCCGACAGTTACATTTTCATTGAAAAAAAAATCAACCTATAGACAGTGGGTCCCCCAATCATTTTGGTTGCTATCTGGCAATGAAATTAGGGTTGGCTTTTTACAACTTGGGACTTCTAATTTTTAGAATTCTATCAGTATTCTGAGAATTCTCAATGCACAAAATTGAAATACACATACATACCTTGAGGATGACCAAGTAACTGCTTTAGGGAAACAGAATACCATATATTTCTGCCTTGCTCTAGCTGTCTTATTAATGTAAAACTGAATCCTTGTGCAATTGTTTCATTGTGCAAAAACTGGCAAGGAATAAACGGCCGAATGCCGTTTTAAATATTTAAGGTATTTTGACTGGTAAATTAAGCCACACTTCCACAAAAAAAAACCAGACCACGAGAACAGGGAAAATTACACACCAGCTTGAGTACTATAAACCCGACAACAACTTGGTTATCTCCTGCATGAATGATTACTTTCAAGGTTAAATTACAATATTTATATTTGCAAAATATTTATGGTGTTTGGCAAAGAGCTTTCCAAACATATTGCACTTGCAAGCTTTAGGAATTAGCAACAAGATTAGAAAAAAAAACCTTAAGATTGGCGGGGAAAAAATTACTTACCTTCATACGGTGTGTCCGGAGGTCCTGCTATTTCTCCTCTTAATTCTGTAAAATTTTCATCTACAAGATCTACTTTAATTTGATTTTTGTTCGTCTTAAAAACAAAACAGAAAAAAAACCAGTTAGAGGTTTACTATGAATTGGATTCTTTTTTTTTTAACTTAAATCTAGAGAGATGAATTAGCCATATACGTTTGTCTTGATAATTGCCTTTTAATTTCAAATTTGAGCCCAATCCTTTCAGTTCTCTTTACATTGATCAAATACTCAATTCTATAGCAGGGGTCCCCAATCCCCGGTCCGTGGACCGGTACTGGTCCCCGGGATGCCAGCAACCGGTCCACACAAACAAGCAAAGTCCCATCCGTAGGATGCAGGCAGCACATAAAACCACGCACCCTCCGGTCCGCAGAAAAACCTCTCTCCGTGGAACCGGTCCCTGGTGCCCCAAAAGTTGGGGACCTCTGCGCTACAGAACATGTTCCACAGGGATCCTTCCAGAAACTGCTAGAAAACAGCCAAGACCCAAAAAACTATATAAACCACATGGTTGCTACAGCTAGCAATTTCTAGCCCTAAGCTTTTGATACGAGGAGCATCAACCCGCTCCTCATCTTCCTAGTAGTCGGGCCGTGCTTTCTCAATCCCTGATCATTCAATAGTAGAGATCTCTAACTTCTATAGCTGCACTAACAGTCTATCCCATGACTTTGTGATTTCAATATCAGATCAAAGCTGTAATCCTACCACTATAGACAATCACAGACTGTCATGGTTCCGACAGATGAAACTCTTCAAAGAACTTCGAGGCATTTTTACCGGCACGTACATGGTCGAAGCCGAAATCTGAATTCCCCTCCCCTAAACACATAGTATCAAAGTACAGTTCCCTCCGCTAAGTAACAGTCATAAATCACATTCTCCAATTAGTTTGAAATGCAGACCTTCCCTCCAGTTCTCCAACCCGCCATTTCTTACCATCTCTTATTTCAAACAACCTTGAAAAAACATTCTACTATGATGTTGTTATGTCTAACTAATTCCCATACACATTCTTCCTCCCCCCCCCCCCCCCAGTCTCATCTAATTCTAACTCTAAAAGTAACACACACGTTAAGGGGGAATTGACTGCTTCTTCATATATTGTCAAAGCAAGAACATCCGATGTTAGCAGCGTTGACACAGACATTCAATGAAGATATTTTAAATAATATACAGGTAGTCCTTCAGTGACCGTCTGAGGTTACGACGCCACCGCGGGAAAAAGTGACCGACGACCGTTTTCCACATTAAGACCGTTGCACCGTCCCCACGATCACGTGATCAAAATTCTGCCGTTTGGCCCCTGGTATGTATTTATGACGGTTTGTAGCGTCCCGGGGACATGTGATCCCCCTTCTGACAAGCCAAGTCAACGGCGAAGTCAGATTCTTGCATATTAGTTGGCATGTCTCAATAGGCAGAAGAAGTGTCTTGACCAACAGGATCTTGGCGTGGAAGCTCAACAGATTTAGGATTTGTTAGGATGTGGATAAATCAACAGGACATTTCAAAGCGGTAAGTTACACCAGTAAGCAGAGCAATTTATTGGGACACATCCCTGGAGGAAATAATGACAAACTAACTTTATGGGTATATCTGCATAATCCCCAAGACTCAAGCTTTAACTTGAGAATATCTTCACGTTTCTCTTCTTTTAAAATAATAACATCTTCTCATTATAAGTATTAGAAAACATTCCCCGAATAGTGGTAGCAGGCAACGGGGGTTTATATATTCCACTGTTCTCTGCTTTTCAATCACTGGGACTTTTGCTGGAGAGGCAAACCAAAAGCAACCACAGAAAATGATTGATCAATATCTCCACTGCTAGGCATCTGTTTACCTTAACATACTTTAAGGCAAAATGATGATGGTGTTATGTGGTGAAATCAAAGCTATACCTGTAAAAGGGTCCCCGGCTTCTGAATTCTTTTAGCAAAATTGCTGGAAGGGGGGGAAAAAAGCACGCAAGGGGAAAGGAGTCAATAATTTATCTTGAAATTTTGTGTTTATAAAGATGCTTTTTCAAGAGGCAACTGGACCTGCTTTTCTTTGAAGATGTTTCGCTTCTCATCCCAGAAGCTTCTTCAGCTCTGACTGGAGGGTGGAGGAATGGAAGGATTTATACTCCTTGCAGACAGCCGGTCATTTGCCTTCTTTTAGAGAGTCGTTGAGGCCACTGGGAGGTTTACCTGTATCCTCAGGGTCACCTGAGTGGTGCAAATGGATGTGGGGGACACAGATAAACCTCCAAGTGGTCTCAACGACCCTCTCTTCAAACTTGGCCCTTTTATGACTTGTGGACTTCAACTCCCAGAATTCCTCAGCCAGCGTGACCTGGATGACTGAGACTCTCCATTAACTGTGTTTATAATGGAGCTTTATTTGCTTACAAAAGGTGTAAACTGAGGGATGCTTTGCTCTCATTTGTATATCCTAAACCGGGAAATGAATTCTACGTAGGGTTGAAGGAATCAGATTAGTTCAGAGGGGGGAAAACCTGCAGATTCTCTCCTGAAATCCCTTCGCAGATTAAAATTAAACAGGGACCTAAGTCTAATTGGTCACTTCGCTGAAACTGGAAATCCTTCCGATTATTCTCATCTTCCTTTGGAATGTAATTTATACCTCCCTATTGTTTTTAAGTCGGGTAATACTCGCCACGGGCTGCCTGCTTACCTCACGCCTAACTTGGTGACTCTCCCTAATTATATCCGACATGTTTACATGTACGGTTAAGAAACTAATGACACGTTTATGTCTCAATAACACGTTTTTTTTTTTTTAGATTGTACTACTTTTCCTAAGAAGCATAAAGACATTTGTTTTGGGGATTAGGTTTCTCACAGTCCAATTGCACATTTGCAGTAAATCAACTACCACTTTATCTCCTAGTAGTTAGTCACTCTAGGTGGTCCTTAGCTTTTCTGGGTGTGTTGGAAATGAAGGACCCAAAAGTACTCAGGATATGATATAAAACGGTTGTCGTTTTACTGGAATTGACCAGAAAAATTCCCATTATCCTTTGGTGCTCGGCAAAATGGCTTCAGTTTATGTCAGGGGTAGTCAACCTTGGCTCTTTTATGACTCGTGGACTTCAACTCCCAGAATTCCTGAGCCAGCCATGCTGAGGGGAAAGGGAGGTTTCCAAGCTGAGCCATGCTGGCTCAGGAATTCTGGGAGTTGAAGTCCACGAGTCATAAAAGAGCCAAGGTTGCCTACCCCTGCTCTAAACTAATAAAGTCTACATTAATTAACATTAATTATGCTTTCATATGTTCCTCTAGGTCAGGGGTAGGCAACCTTGGCTCTTTTATGACTGGTGGACTTCAACTCCCAGAATTCCTGAGCCAGCATNAGCCATTCTGGCTAAGGAATTCTGGGAGTTGAAGTCCACGAGTCATAAAAGAGCCAAGGTTGCCTACCCCTGCTCTAAACTAATAAAGTCTACATTAATTAACATTAATTATGCTTTCATATGTTCCTCTAGGTCAGGGGTAGGCAACCTTGGCTCTTTTATGACTGGTGGACTTCAACTCCCAGAATTCCTGAGCCAGCATGGCTCAGCTTGGAAACCTCTCCCTTTCCCCTCAGCATGGCTGGCTCAGGAATTCTGGGAGTTGAAGTCCACGAGTCATAAAAGAGCCAAGGTTGACTACCCCTGGTTTATGTCAATTTTCTTGCTCCTACTGGTTAAAACCATTTTGAAGAGGCTTCAGTAATGTCACAATGAAGAGTTTATAAATAAAAGCCTGCCCATTTCAAATATTTCCAGCAAGTTTTTATATAGCCAGCCTATACCCTCCACAATTTTTCCACCCGAGCACGAAGTCTGTATTACTGCAAATGTTATTGTGTAAAATAATGTTGTTAAACAAGTCGCTCTAGTTCACTACAACTAATTTGCCGCTCGGTAGTCTCAGTGGCCTTTAACAGACTTAGCTGTCTAACCTTTACAAATACTTATTTGGGAGTGTGTGTCTGCAAATGGAAGAACTACAGTAGAATGAATGCTTAAAGCCTCTGGAAGCAATATAATGTACTCATTTTTCATTTTTTAATGGCGATTCCTCCCCCTCCAAAAATCAACTAACATACAACAGTATCCCACGTTACTATCTCCTTTCAAAACTACAGATTGTGAAAAATAAAAATGAAACGTTCCCCCTTGGCAGTTGTTATTTATGGCCTCCATTAAACTACACCTCAGAGTCCACGTTCAATAATTTCTCTTCTCTTCCGCAGCTCAAAGTCAGCTTGTCTTATCTTAGAAATTCTTCATCTACTGTTGTGGCCTTTGGTTGAGAGAGGCAGCTAAATAAAATCTGATTAACCCCTGAAATGCATTTCATTGAAAGAGCTACAACAAACAGCATATATATTAATTTAGTGTTTTATCTTGTTATCCCTCTAGTTCCTGGAGCAGACTTTCTGCTTTCAATTGTCAAACGACGTCCACGAATTTATTTGAAAAGTTTCTTTGGCGAAAACTTCCAATTTCCAAATCCTGGCCGTGTAGAAAAAAAAATCCCATTGCAATTGGTATCATTTGTATAATTAAGCAAAGTTTGCCATTTGCACCCATTTATGTAATGCATATTACATGATGACGTACTTGCGTAATTTGCACCATCACAATCACCTACAGATTGGGCAAAATCAGTCTTATACGCAAGACTGTAGTCGCCAAAAGGAGTGACACAACTCCATCATACTTGAGACCTTCCTTCTAACTCAGTGGACATGGTTTGGTTTCGCATTTATTTTAATTCACAGTTTATTGGAGGTTTTAACTCTGTAATTGTGCTGAGGTTTGTGGGAATTATTGTCCGCTGCTTTTAAAATAAAAGAGAAAATCAATAAAACGCTTATGGCTCACTTACAAATCCCATCCACACTTCCTAACCATCACGCTGTCAAAAGGCTGATGGAGGATCCACAGCGCTACAAAAACAAAGTTGTCCAGCACACCGTCAAAAGTTTCTAGCTGTTAATTCAATTGTTTTGATATTGCTCCAAGCTGCCTTGAGAACGCATGCTTGTAAAGTAAACATGGGTGCACAATGGCAACAACAAAACCAGCTGGAGAAATTTTGGTGAAGTGAATAGTTTTGTGCAGGAAAATGTGAAAATGCATTAAGGGTCTATGGACGTGCCAGTCAGTGTTTCATGCTGACAGGTGAAAAATAAGCTGCATTGGCTTCTTCTACGATAAATTCAAAAGAAAAAGAACAGATTTCATTGCCTTTCTCGGAGAATGCACAACTAAATTTATGGACATTTGTGTATAGGTAGTCTTACAACCATTCATTTAAGGAGAAAGTTCCTGTCAGTGAGGACGATTAACCAGTGGAACAGTTTGCCACCAGAAATCGTGGGCGCTCCATCACTGGAGGTTTTTAAGAAGAGGCTAGACAGTCACTTGTCTGAAATGGTATAGGGTCCCCTGGATTGAGCAGGGGGCTGGACTACAGGACCTCGAAGGTCCCTTCCAACTCTATTCTATTCTATTCTATTCTATTCTACTCTACTCTACTCTTCTATTCTTCTATTCCAGGGGTCCTCAACCTTGGCAACTTTAAGGCTTGTGGACTTCAACTCCCAGAATTCCTCATCCAGCTTTGATGGCTGAGGAATTCTGGGAATTGAAGACCACAAGTCTTAAAGTTGCCAAGGTTGAGGACCCCTGTTCTATTCTATATTCTATTCTATTCTATTCTATATTCTATTCTATTCTATTCTATATTCTATTCTATTCTATATTCTATTCTATTCTATATTCTATATTCTATTCTATATTCTATTCTATATTCTATTCTATTCTATATTCTATTCTATTCTATATTCCAGTGGTGGCGAACCTGTGGCACGGGTGACAGAGGCGGCACTCAGAGCCCTGGGTTTTATAAAACCTTTTCGCTTTAGGCCTCCGCCACCGTGTACAAAAAAAAAAAAAAAAAAAGGTTCAATCAATCAATTTCAACTTCTTGCAGGGAAAAAAAAATCTCGCAAAGTTGGAATTGATTGATTGAACTTTTTAGTCCCACCCAGTCTGCCGTTACCACTGCAGCCACGCCCACCCAATGGGCCACGCCCACCCGGCACCCGACGATGCATAAGTGGGTTTTGGGTTGCAGTTTGGGCACTCGGTCTCTAAAAGGTTCACCATCACTGCTCTATTCTATTCTCTATTCTATTCTATTCTGTAATTCTATTCTATTCTATTCTATTATTTCATTCCCATTCTCTGTTCTATTCTATTCTATAATTCTATTCTATTCTGTAATTCTATTCTATTCTGTAATTCTATTCTATTCTATTCTAATTTCATTCCCATTCCCAATTCTATTCTATCCTGTAATTCTATTCTATTCCTGATCGAACTTACAACGGCACTGAAAAAAGTGACTGATCATTTTTCACACTTATGACCGTTGTAGCATCCCCATGGCTCACGTGATCAAAATCCAGACACTTGGCAACTGCTTCATATTTCTGACGGCTGCAGCATCCCGGGGTCATGTGATCCTCTTTTACGACCTTCTGACAAGCCAATTCAATGGGGGAAGCCGGATTCACTTAACAACCGTGTTATTAACTTAACGTCAGTGACTCACTGTGGCAAGCAAGGGCGCAAAATGGGGCAAAATTCACAACTGTCTTGATTAGCGACGGAAATTTGGGGGTCAGTTATGATTGTCAAGTCGAGGACTATCTGTATGACCCTTTTTTTTTGCAGACCTATCTACCTTATTACCTGAACTGCTTTTCTCGCTGTCTTCCCATCGCATTTATGATCCTTACGGTCCCAAATACCTTAGAGAAGGCAATCAAACTCCCACAAAAAGTTGCCACCACGTTCTAATTTCCAGTATGTTGGATGGAAAACCTATCTATCCAATACATGGAAAGGAATTAATTTTATTGTACTGAATTAAAATAGAATATGAAAGAAAGGAAATCCGTCTTCTATCCTGGTTATCTTTGGAAAATGTTCTGCATAGACCAGGCATTTCTCTTCTGTTCTATTGTGATGTTTATTTGGAAAGTGCTTCATTAAAAAAATCTGCTTCTCGTGGATTCTGCCTTCTTTGGTGGTGCAGAACAAAAACACGATCATGTTTGCGTTTAGTTTACAAAATGCAGCTTTCCCGATCACTCCCAGGATGCTGTTTCTTTGTGCACACTGAAGCACACCGTCAAGGAAGACTCTGAAACGTTTTTTGAACACGGCAAGCTAACGGCGCGTCATTTTGCAGTAGATGGATGAGCTCTGAGAATATGTACAGGTCAGCTCCAAAATAAGTACCTGGGAATACAGGGACGCTGATTCTTAGGACGAGTGACAGGGGACAGCAGCCAAAAATATAACAAAAATATAAAGGTCTCATTTCTATTGATTTTTCATGCTAACAGTCATCAACTTCAAACCAGCTTCTGTATAGCAAAGGACAACTTTTGTCATTTTCTCCTTCTGAAGTAGGAAACTTGCTTTCCCAAAATTTTGCGTCCGGCGTCCGCAAGATGAGGAACGCAATTTTATATTAGCATTCGGCTAACGAAGAAAACAACTGGGACAGCATTGGAAGAGTGTAGCTCCCTTTCTCAAAAATAATCAACAAGTACCTAATTAGTTTCACCGTGGACGGTTTTCTCTACATTTGAGTTTGCAAGATGGCCTATTTTAACGTTAATATAATTTTCCTACGGGAAATAGCCTTCCAATGACTGGATATGTTTATGTTTATTTAGATTTGTATACCGCCCTATCTCCCTTACGGGACTCAGGGCGGTGAACAGGCGATAATAAAAATCACAATAAATATCTATTCTAAAATCAAATTAAATAAATAAAAGCCTGCTCTAAAATACCCCATATAAAAACCTATACTAAAACCTAATTAAGACTACGCCAGGCCGGCCGCACGAAATAGATGAGTTTTCAGGGCTCGGCGAAAAAGGCGCATTTGCTAAGTTTAATCCATTTCTAGCTGGGTACGTTTCATCTCTATAGCATTTTGCGTCAATTGAGAATCGGTTTGAACTGGAATCTTTTAAAGTTCCTTGAAAGTTGTATATTATATAGCCGTCTACATAGGCTTGATTTTTAGGCTCACCCCAAAACTAGAGTTTATTTTTGCGGTGGGGCTTATATTAGGCCCATCCCCCAAAAAATCAAGCTAGGGGGAAACACAGTATGCTGCCCACATTTTTTTTTTTATTCTAGTTTGTGATACTCTACAGTGCTACTTTGAATGACTTGTTTTTGCTCCGCCTTCCTTTTCTTTTTTTTTCATTGAAAGGCATGCTCTCATTCAAATATATCAAGGAGATATATTGTAATGTCAATCGTGCAATCCTCGGAACATGTCACGCTATTCACAAACTGTTAACAGCCAACTGCAGTGATTCATTAATTGTTATAATTCTAAATTATACAGGAAGCTTCCATGTAGTTACTGTATTTAGTAAATACAGGAGGAGGGCAGTTAATGGTATATTCCCCTTGTGCACAGATGTTACAAATTATAGTTTGTTAACATCTAACCAAGCTTTGAAATGCCCGGCCGTATGGAAGAGATTAAAAAAAAAAAGATGGAAATTCCTTGCGGAAAAATTGTCATGTTCTATTTTTTCACTGAAACCTTAACCTTTTTTTTTTGAAATAGATACAATCAAATTTAAAGCTGTAAATATCCCGTTTTTGATAACATTCTCAGGGAGCACATCTGTAAATCAGGTTGGATGTGCTGAACTCAATATATTAATCATGTTCAATGTCTTCTGTTTACTTCTAAAACACTTTATGAAGCCTCGATGCTTGAAAATGGCAATTTTTCCAATTCAATTTTTTGGGGGAAACCCACATGGCAGAATTAAAAAAAAATGAATTAAAAATTAATCTAGTTGTATTTTCTAAGAAATCTTCATTTACATTGCGTGTTTAAAAGATTTCATGAAATGGTTTTGTTTTTTTTTAGTGAAACCTATTCCAGGTAAATGGAAACAAAGATTGTAGCTACGGTATATACTTTTTAAAAAACTGAATCAATCTATAAAGAGTTATTGCTATGTTAAGTAAAATGTATAGGCATGTCAACAAGCACATCCCATTGATTTGTTTTAACTTTTTCATTGTATTTCAAAAAAAAAGAAGAAGAAACAGGGGTGACATGATAGCAGTATTCCAGTATTTGAGGGGCTGCCACAAAGTCGAGGGGGTCAACTTATTTTCCAAAGCACCTGAGGGCAGGACAAGAAGCAATGGATGGAAACTAACCAAGGAGAGAAGCAACCTGGAATTAAGGAGAAACTTCCTGATAATGAGGACAATTAACCAGTGGAAAAGCTTGCCTCCAGAAATCATGGAGATTTTTAAGAGGAGGCTAAACAGTCACTTATCTGAGATGGTATAGGTTCTCCTGCTTGAGCAGGGGGCTGGACTAGAAGACCTCCAAGGTCCCTTCCAACTCTATTCTATTCTATCACGTGACCTACAGATACCTCTTGCCACTACTGATATCAAAGTGCGTTAAGTCAACCACTAGAAAGAGCTGCACAAATTATACCTGCAGGGGAGATATCCAGAAAGAACATCAAGACTAAAGTTTGCTTATGAGCATCTATTCTAGATAAAGACCGGGACCTCTGGAACAATTTGGTCCAGAGACTCAACAATTATTTGGCCCTTTGGACCTCTTGGTGAGATCCAAAGACAGCATTTGATCAGAAGAACCCAATTACCGACAATAAAGCATGGGTGATGGTGGAAATGATACGGTTTGTGGCTGCTTTGATGCATCGTGGACCAGGAGACCCACACCCAAAAGGATTTTAGATTTTTTTTTTAGCCCAGTTGGGTAAGAGACAGTAAGTCTGCTGTTTACAAATACGAATCCAGCTTTTGTTTTTCCAAATTATCAGCAGCTTACTCTAGTTTTCAGAGAGAGGACGCTTAACTGGATGATGGCTGACCAACTCCATCCATGGCCAGATAACACGGATCCTATACTATGCATCTTGGTCCCGATTTTAAAACTTAAAACTGCTTTATAGTTGGTAATGCAGAAACAGCCCGAGCGCTGATGATGTTAGCTAGTTTGGGTAATGAAAATCTGCAAGAAACCAACCAGGTTCAAAGAGCACAAAGGACCTCTTAGAAACAGCATTACCAGCTCCTTTATTTGTCTTTGTTCAGCTGACATTAGGAAGGCAATATTGAGGGGAAAAGCAGCACTACTTCAATCAAACGAATACTATCTCCAGAATTTAAAACCATTGTAAAAACAGATAATTCCAGCCAATTATTACCGATAAATTTTCTATTAAAACAAGGACAGATACAGACATCACATCCTTACGTAAATTACGAATTCAAATGTCCTTTAGAAAGCAGTCCATTTTACAAGCACTCCTCATTTTCTAGAAGTGTGATTCTCCATCCAGCTATATAAAAGAGGTTTTGCAAGTGAATTTATATGGGGTTGTCCTCGACGTAAAACCACAACTGAGCCCAAAATTTCTGTTGCTAAGTGAGACATTTGTTAAATGAATTTTGCCCCATTTTACGACCTTTCTTGTCACAGTTGGATGGAATGGATGGAAACTCACCAAGGAGAGAAGCAACCTGAAACTAAGGAGAAATTTCCTGACAGAACAATTAATCAGTGGAACAACCTGCCTCCAGAAGATGTGAATGCTTCAACAATGGAAGACTGGACAGCCATTTGTCTGAAATGGTATAGGGTTTCCCGCCTGAGCAAGGGGTTGGACTAGATGACCTCCAAGGTCCCTTCCAACTCTATTATTATTATTATTATTATTATTATTATTATTATTATTATTAATTATTATTCATGATTGGACACACAAGGAATTTGGATCTGGTGCATAAGCTCTCGGTGTACATACAAGCAACAAGTGATAAATCACACAAGGACAGTGAATGAGATGCTTGAATTCTCCACTAGTTCATAACCCCATCTTATTTTGAGAATGTGGATTTATCTTTATTTTTTTAAAAAAAATATATTTATATCTTGCCTTCACTATTTTTACAAATAACTCCAGGCAACAAACCTATCCAACAGACCTTCCTTCTCCTGTTTTCACCACAACCACAATCCTGTGAGGTGGGTTAGGCTGAGCAAGAGGGACTGGCCCCGAATTACCCAGCCAGCTTTCATGGCTAAGACAGGGCTAGAATTCACCATCTCCTGGGGATTGGCCCAAAGTCACCCATCCGTTTCTAAGATGGGACTAGAACTCACATCCTCCTGGTTTTCTAGCCTGGCGCCTTCCTTAACCGCTAAAGCAAACTGACTGACTGACTTGGGCCTGTATAGTGTGGGGAACAAACTTGTGGCTTTCTCACTGTCGCTGAACTACAGATCCCAGGAATGTCTCACCACCGGCCATATTAACTTAATCTGTTGGAGTCCCTTCCAACTCTATTATTATTGTTGTTGTTAAGTGAATCACTGCAGTTAAATTAGTAACGTGGTTAAATGAACCTGGCTCCCCCATTGACTGTGCTTGTCGGGTCGCAAAAGGTGAACATAGGACCATGGGACATAGCAACGGTCATAAATATGAACCAGTTGCCAAGCATCTGGATTTTAGTCACATGACCATGGTGTGTGTGTGTGTGTGCTGCAATGGTCGTAAGTGTGAACAAGGTTCAAAAGTCAGATTTTTCAATGCCGTTGCAACTTTGAATAGTCACTAAGCAAACTGTTGTAAGTCAAGGACTATCTGTACACCCCATGCTTGAAAAGTTAACGTAGAAGCTAAAGCTCCTTAAACCACGATGGGATACATCTTTGTTGGAATTTATTTTATAGCTGTTATAGAAATACATTTAGAATTGGGCTGATCTTTTTATGCAATAAAAGTTGAAAAAACGGCACTTTCAAGTTGTTCAATGCTAGTTCCCCAACTTATTTTACTTTCTTTCCATTATCTTTGTTTTAACATACAACATTAAACACTGTTTCAGAGTTCAATGCTTACATTTCAGGAAAATATATTCCATCGGAAGGAAAGATCTATTTCTCTCTGGCTGACATTTTACTAATGTTGAGGAAAAGCAGAATTATTACCACCCTAAATCTATGTCAGGGATGGAATAAAAAATTTCTTAGTTGTAAAATAAACTAGTATTGAATACTGAGTAGTATCTTGTTCAAAATACTTCACATTTGGTGAAAATAAATGAAAATAGCACTGAATTATAGGAGTGGAAAAAAGCAGACTAAGACCATACATAAATTGGAGTAAGACCAGGATACAAATCTAATGCATTATAATGCTCACTTTTTTACTATTATCAGTTGTGCCAATATTATATTAGATATGTATATATCAGTGGACTAAGAATATATGAATGAAGAGATAAAGGGCCGTTGGAAAGAATATCATGGTAATTAATAATACACAGCATCAACAGAATATATTTTGAAATGAAAGAACTGCTTTTTAATGTGTGCTCTGTCAATTTTTACAACCCATTATGTAAGTATTGAGAAGAATCCTTTTAAAATAAAAATAAAAAAGAAATCCTCTCAATGAATGCTCCTCCAAATAGCAATTTTACTCATGAACGTTTAAAGCATGAAACAAAAAGTTCTTTTAATCAATCAATGGTTATGTAGGTTATAATTACATCTGATTCTTTCCCTATCTGTGTAATAGGGAAATATAGGTGCTCCATCTTAAATATATTTGGTGCCTATAATTTTTCCAATAGTTGGTACATTCTAGTACAGCTTCCCACAGCCCATGCATTTTAATACACCATCCCATGCGCTGCATTAAGCTATGTTGTTGACTTGTTTTGGGCTTAGCTTTTTGTACACAGGAGGCCAGCAAACAGACCATAGTTTAAGGCTTACTCACTGCAATTAAATAGACTACTACACCAACACCTAGGCCTTTGTAATTTCCTTCCTTCCTTAGTGCTAATTTATATTTCTGGCTTGCTCAAGCTCTTAGCCAATCTGTAAAGGTCCAAGGCAAGTTTCCCCAAAGACCCCAGATTACGCTGCCAGGATAAACCCTCAGCCAACCAGGACACATGACGTTACTTTTAACTTAAATCCCACTGGAAAAACCTTCCTCTGACCTGGTTAACTGGACGGAGGAGCAGGCATGTAAGGACACATCCCAAGCTAGATGAAAGACTGCTAGGCCGACAAATGGAAAGAGAAAGATTGGCTCTTTCATTAGATTTTTATCCTGCCTTTATTACCGTATAACTGACTCAAGGTGGTTAAACATACCTAAGGTTGCTTCCTCCTATTTTCCCTGCAACAACCACAACCCTGTGAGGTGGGTCAGGCTGAGAAAGAGGGAACGGCCTAACCAAAGTCACCCAGCTGCCTTTTGCGGCCAAGACAGAACTAAAACTCATTGTCTCCTGGCAACTGACCCAAAGGCCCCCAGCCAGCTTTTACGCCATATACAGGACTAGAACTCCCAGCCTCCTGCCGACTGGCCCAAAGGCAACCATCCAACCTCTATGCCATATACAGGACTACAACTCCCAGTCTCCTGGCGACTGGCCCAAAGGCACCCAGCCATTTTTTTGTGCCATATACAGGACTAGAACTCCCAGCCTGTTGACTGGCCCCAAAGCACCCAGCCACTTTCTGTGCTATATACAGGACTAGAACTCCCAGTCTCCAGGTGACTGGTCCAAAGGCCCCCAGCTGGCTTTTACGCCATATACAGGACTAGAACTCCCAGTCTCCCAGCAAATGGCCCAAAGGCCCCCAGGCAGCTTCTAATCTAGGCCATATACAGGACTAGAACTCCCAGTTTCCCGGCGACTGGTCCAAAGGCCCCCAGCCAGCTTTTACACCATATACTGGACTAGAACTCCCAGTCTCCTGCTGAGTGGCCCAAAGGCCCTCAGCCAGCTTCTAATCTAGGCCATATACAGGACTAGAACTCCCAGCCTCCTGGCAAATGGCCCAAAGGCACCCAGCCAGCTTCTAGGCCATATACCGGACTAGAACTCCCAGTCTCCTGCTGACTGGCCCAAAGGCCCCCAGCCAGCTTTTACACCATATACAGGACTAGAACTCCCAATTTCCTGCTGAGTGGCTCAAAGGCCCCCAGCCAGCTTCTAATCTAGGCCATATACAGGACTAGAACTCCCAGCCTCCCGGCAAATGGCCCAAAGCCCCCCCCACCTTTCTCGCCTTAGGGCAGGCCTCTGAAACCCCCAACCTCCTGAGGATCGGCCCAAAGGCCCCCCCCCAGCTGGCTTTGGTGCCCAAGGCGGAGCTAGAACTCCCCATCACCTGGTACCTAGCTGAGGAGGATGCTGAGGCTTCCAACAATTCAGGAAAATTACATATATTTCCCCCACCTCCCAACCTTCAAGGGCTCAGCAGCCTTTCGACTGGGGATTTGGGGGGGGGGGGGTGATCAGCCCCTTGAAAGGGAAAGGATTTAAACCGGGGNGGGGGGGGTTTGGAAGCCTGACCTCCTCGCTCTTCAGCACTTCTTTGAACTCCCGCTTGATCCGCTGCACCGCGATGTTGGCCATCTCGGCAGCGGGACCCGCCGAAACCCAGGTCGCTCCCGCCGCCGCCGCTTCCGCCGCCGCCTCCGCCGCCGAGCCGGGCCGAGCTCCGCCGCCAACCGTCACCACCGCCGCCACCGCGGGAGAAGCTCCGGCGGCCCGTCCAAAATGGCCCCCGCGCCGAGCATGCGCGTTGCGACTCCCGGAGCCGGCCTCTTCCTCTCCGTCATAGTGGAGAGGGCGGGGAGGGGGGGGCGCGCGCGGCGCGGCGCCGGGCAGTGGGCGGGGCCCCAGAGGAGGAGGAGGAGGAGGAAGGGGGGGAAAAGGACCTCGCCGTGTCGTCACTCGCCGGCGACGGCGTCGCTTTGGAACTTGCCGCGCGAGGGCCGGCCGTTGAGGAGGAGGCGCCTCTTTTTCCCTGAGGAGACCGAGCAGGGTCGTCGTTTTTTGTTGTTGTTGTTGTTGTTTGTTTGTTTCCCCTCACGACGTCCGAGCCTGCGAACCGCCGAGCTGAGCGGCGAAGGCTTTTCCCCCCATGGCGGGCGGGAAGGCTCCTGGGAGGAAATCTGCCGGTACCGGCGCCTTCGTCTGCCTTTCGGACCCCGGCTTGGGCTCGGAGCGGGACAGATGAACGCCGGGGAAGGCTTGAGGCCTAGTGAGGTGGGTGTAACTGTCCTCTGAAGGGCTGTGGGGGGGGAGGAGTTGGCAGGCTGACAGGCTCGTGTATTTGTGTGTGTGTGTGTGTTGGAGAACAGGGACGAGTCCCTTCGGTGTAATGCTCTTCTGCACAAATCTCAAAGTAGGGGGTGGTGTAGTGCACTCCGTTTTGTTACTAAGGCGTGCAGAAAGGGGTGGTCTGCCCTCGTTTTTATTTAATTTATTACATTTATACGCTGCTCATCTGTCTATCGTGCGCCTCAGGGCTACTTACAATACCATAAATAACAGACTAAAGCAATTGTAAGATTAAAACATTCAGAGATGGAATAGAATAGAATAGATTAGAAACACAGAATAGGACAGAATAGAATAGAAAATATAGAATAGAATAGAAACTCAGAATAGGACAGAATAGAATAGAATAGAAAATATGGAATAGAATAGAATAGAAACACAGAATAGAATAGAATAGAAAATATGGAATAGAATAGAACAGAATAGAATAGACTAGAAACACAGAATAGAATAGAATAGAATAGAAACACAGAATAGAATAGAAACACAGAATAGAATAGAAACAATAGAATAGAAAATATGCAACAGAATAAAATAGAAACACAGAATAGAATAGAATAGAAATATAGAATAGAAACAATAGAATAGAAAATATGGAACAGAATAGAATAGAAAAAATAGAATAGAATAGAAACACAGAATAGAATGGAATGGAATAGAATAGAAACACAGAATAGAATAGAAAATATGGAACAGAATAGAACAGAATAGAATAGAAAATATGGAATAGAATAGAATAGAAACACAGAATAGAATAGAATAGAAAATATGGAATAGAATAGAAAATATGGAATAGAATTAGAATAAGCTAAAACGTTAGAATTGCTATAAAAAGGGATTAAAAAGCCAGTGCGTAGATGGGCTGGAGGTGAGATCTTATACAGGTAGAAACAGTTCATTTAGTGACCATTCAAAATTATAACAGCACTGAAAAAGTGACTTATGACTATTTTTTCACACAACCATTGTGGGATCCCTAAAGTCACATGATCAAAATTCAGACTCTTGGCAACGTGGCTCGTATTTATGATGGTTGCAATGTCCCGGGGTCATGTGATCCCTTTTTGCGACCTCCTGACAAGCAAAGAGAATGGGGGAGCCAGATTTCCTTAACCAGGTTACTAACCAATCAACTGCATGGATTCACTTAACAACTATGGCAGGAAAGGTAGTAAAATGGGGCCTTTGCAGAGGCTTATGGTACCTCTATAGGATGTTCTCTGCTATCCAAAATAGAATTCTGTCTTGCCCCATTTTTAAAAAAAAAATGATCTTTTTTTTCCTCCAAATTATGACATTTGAATTTTCCAAGACCTTCTTGATTACTTATTCCTTTATTGGTGATGGTTGATCCTAAAATGCACATACTGTGCACTGCTTTGATATCTCCGTTGTCAGTTTTAAGATAGTCATCATACCTGTTTCGTTAGTTGATGTTCTTTTTGTTTAATTTTAGTCCCATTTTTTTCACTGTGCTGCTTGACTTTTATTACTAGAGCTTACAGATCCTGCATTTTTGACCATCACATTAGTGTCTTCAGCAAAGTGTGGGTCACTGATGTTTCTTCTCCCAATTTGAAAACCATGCTCTTTTTTCCCAATCAGGTTCCCCTTAATATATATTCATATAAATATAGGCTGGGAAAAAAAATAAGGGGAGAGCATACAGTTTGTCTCTTTTGCCAACATGGAGCCTGTCTGTTTCTCCATGTTCGACCCATACCTCCTGAATATTTATATGAAGGTAATGAGATATTTTGGGATTTTCATTTTTCTAAACACATATCACAACTTGATGGGATTGACACAATTTAAGGCCTTTCTATAATCAGTGAAGCACACAACCTTTTTTTGTGTTCTTTAGCTTTCTCAATTATCCAATGTGCATCAGCTTAGAGCCACACTTTAAAAAGTAGATGGAACCCCAGGACCTACAGTATGACTGAAAATTCATCTATTATTTGTTCATATTTCTGGGCCATCTAACTCAACTCTGTAAAATGACTTTGGCAGTTTCACAAAATTAAAAAGAAAATATTACATATGAAAAGAATAATGCTGTCCCAAGAGAACAGATTAGAAACGCATTCTTCCACATCACCCATAACCTTAAAAGAGGAACATCAAGCACCCTAACCTAAAGACTTGGGAAAGAGCTGAGTTTTATTTATGCGCCTGATTAAATAAGCATAGTGAAGTGTGTCATATCTGCAGCAATAGTGAATGCTCTTAGGAGGTAATTTGACTCAGAGGTTTCATTCAATTAGATGGCAATCTGATGTTGATTTCAGGGGCCTCCAGTGTAAAAGAACAACATACTTGTAGATTGCCACAGTGATTGGCTGCTCTTTGTCCCATGGGTTTTTGGAAGTGTACCATGCTTGGATCAAAACAGACTTTTGTAAATCTCAGAAATAATGATGAGACTGGGAAAGTCTGTAAAAGCATTTCTAAAGGCTTTGCCCTCTGTTATTCTGCAGTTAGACAAAAGGAGTATAAACAGAAGAAATGAGAATTGTTATCCTTTATAGGAGTGGTCATTCAGTAAAAGTAACCTCCCAAAATAAGGTATAATGGTAAAGAATCTACAGACTATTCTTGTATTGCCTGGCTGAGAAATTCTGGGAGTTGAAGTCCACAAGTTATAAAAGGGCCAAGTTTGAAGAGTATTAAAACAGGAGATAGAAAAGTGGAACTTTCTAGCACTAGTGAGAGAAGTACTTGAATGAGCAAAATGTTCAATTTCAATAAAAGAACAATAAAAACAAACTGAATAAAAATTGCCCTGCAACCTTAAGGGCACCAGTGGCTTGCAGTCGTGAAAGGAACAATGCATTCCAGATTGTACCAGGATATTCTACAGAAGAATGTTGATTTCTACCCGTGAACTGAAAGTGTGAGTGTGGGTCATACAGTTATAACAATGACGCAAATCCACCAGAACGGCTGAAGCAGCAGAAATTTCCACAATTCGGAAGCCCTGACTAAAACCCAACTGAAATTTTTTGGCATTACCTTGGATGGGCACTTCCAGCAAGCACCAAAGCAGTTCTTTAAGTGAAGTAGACTAAGATACCAACAAGATAATACACAACATTAATCAACAGGTACATCAAATGTTTTGTTGAAATCATTGCCAGTAATAGAAATAACCACCGGTTACTAAATCTAAAACTTGGAAGTACTTTTTTCTAACCCAGACAAGAGAATGTTGGCTCAGGATACTTTTGGGGGTGTTTCAATCACCGGAATGTTTGTTTTAGTTGGACTTAGTTAAAGCTTAATTAAGTCACATAATAATAATAATAATAATAATAATAATAATAATAATAATAATAATAATAATAATAATAATAATAATAATAATAATAATAATAATAATAAAGTTGGGACCTTGGAGGTTATCAAGTCCAACCCCCTGCTCAGGCAGGAAACCCTATACCATTTCAGACAAAAGGCTGTCCAGTCTCTTCTTATAAGCCTCCATTGTTGGAGCATTCACCGCTTCTGGAGGCAGGTTGTTCCATTGGTTAATTGTTCTAACTGTCAGGAAGTTTCTCCTTAGTTCTAGGTTGCTTCTCTCCTTGATTAGTTTCCATCCATTGCTTCTTGTCCTGCCTTCTGGTGCTTTGGAGAACAGCTTGACTTCCTCTTCTTTGGGGCAGCCCCTGAGATACTGGAAGACTGCTATCATGTCCCCCCTCATCCTTCTCTTCATTAGATTAGACATACCCAATTCCAGCAACAGTTCCTTATATGTTTTACCCTCCAATCCCCTGATCATCTTTGTTGCTCTTCTCTGTACTCTTTCTAGAGTCCCAACATCTTTTTTACATCGTGGTGACCAAAACTTGATGCAGGATTCCAAGTGTGGCCTTACCAAGGCCTTGTAAAGTGGTATTAACACTTCACGTTGTCTTGATTCTGTCCCTCTGTTAATGCAGCCTAGAACTGTGTTGGCTTTTTTGGCAGCTGCAGCACACGGCTGGCTCATATAGGTTTCTAGATACATTTCCCACTGCTATTTATTCTGGGTAACAGCATACCTATTCAAATGCTCCCATTGGCTAACACAGAAACATCACCAAGTCATACCTTCTCAAAAATAATTAAATACAGCATCAGAGTTATACAAAATATCTACCAAAAGATGTATCCAGCAAGTTCAAATCTTCAGTTGCAGCATACCGTCCTCCAGTGGTGCTTGATGAAATCACCAAAAAATAACCAGAAAAGGAAGGAGTAGAATAGATTGATTCTTTGTAATGAAAGAATCAGAGGGGGGAACGTTTGGCCTCTGGATAAGAGATACTGTATGTTAAAAAGTAAAATGCTACAGTACATGAAGTAAAATGTAGCTGCTGTAGTGCTTTGGCAGAATACAGTATATTAATTCAATTGATCATTGAACACACAACTTTTGTAAATAAGTTTAAAATGCTTCAATCGAACAAAGCTGTATTTGTGATATTTCTTAGGCGAAACCAATGAAGTCTTCGGTCAGATAGTTTTTTGATTAAAATTTTACTTACACATACCTGCAATTTGGAAACCTCTAGGGTGGGGGGGGTGTCAAACTCGCTGCATCACAGGACGTGTCGCAACATATCAATTGATTGGTACTGGCTTAGTTTATACAAGTTTGTGCAAGCTAAGGCATTGGTTTATTTTGGTAGAAAAACTAATTCAGCGTAGGTTAACATGTTGTGAGAACATAGCCAAACTATAAGAAAGCATTTTTCAACTTGGAGTTCTGCAGTGAACATGCTTATTTTAAATGCTGGAACTTAGAAAAATTGGAAGCATCACCACCTGATAAAGGGTTTTAGGAATAAGAATGCATTCTAAATTTAAAAAAAGGAGGGAAGCAATATTTATCTGGACAGCAACAGGTGCCTGTGTTCTATCATCACAAGAATTAGGCATTTTATGAGAATTAAAAGACCCAGAAGACTGGGGTGACCCTAAAAGAATACTGGAATAATGTAGTATTTCTCTCTTTCTCTCTTTTAAATTGTAATTATATATTTACAAATGCGCCTGTACATTATTTTAACAATTGGCATATTATACTGTACATTCTGTATACCAAACCAGTCTGACGGTAATAAAAATCCTTAAGCAAAATTTGTTCTATTTTGTTTTTACTGGATTAGCTAAGCTAATGTCTTGTTTGAATTGGCTTGCATCATGAGATGGTTTAGGACAGTTCTGCTCTTTTTTGTTTGTGTATGTTATGCTTAATGACCAACATAAATAACACTGCACAGTAAGGGCTGTGCAAAAAAATAGTCTCAAAAGAGATTACTTCCAAGATAGCAAAGCCCTCTACAACAATTCAATGTGGATATGTCTTTTTAGAAATACCGCTGCATTCATTGGGATTTACAACAAGAGCATTTCACAAGATTGTGTTCTTAGTCTTTATAAGTCAAAATAACCCCCAGAAAACCAAGAGATCTACTTCAGTAAATTTAGCAGTGAGATTGTGTGTGTGTGTGTGTGTATGTATGTATGTATATGTGTATGTGCTAGATGGGCCGAGCTAGATCAGGGGTCTTCAAACTTGGCAACTTTAAGACTTGTGGACTTCAACTCCCAGAATTCCTCAGCCAGCCAGCAGTCCACAAAGTCTTTAAAAGTTGTCAAGTTTGGCCTGGGCCAGGGGTAGGCAACCTTGGCCCCTTCATGACTGGTGGACTTCAACTCCCAGAATTCTTGAGCCAGCATGGGTGAGCTTGGAAACTTCTCCCTTTCCCCTCAGGAATTCTGGGAGTTGAAGTCCACCAGTCCTAAAAGAGCCAAGGTTGCCTGCCCCTGCTCTAAACTAATAAAGTCTACATTAATTAACACTAATTATGCTTTCATATGTTCCTCTAGGTCAGGGATAGGCAACCGTGGCTCTTTTATGACTCGTGGACTTCAACTCCCAGAATTCCTGAGCCAGCATGGCTCAGCTTGGAAACCTCTCCCTTTCCCCTCAGCATGGCTGGCTCAGGAATTCTGGGAGTTGGAGTCCACGAGTCATCAAAGAGCCAGGGTTGCCTACCCCAGCTCTAAACTAATAAAGTCTACATTAATTAACATTAATTATGCTTTGATATGGTCCTCTAGGTCAGGGGTAGGCAACCGTGGCTCTTTTATGACTCGTGGACTTCAACTCCCAGAATTCCTGAGCCAGCATGAGGGAAATATGGCCCCCTCATGACTTGTGGACTTCAACTCCCAGAATTCCTGAGCCAGCATGAGGGAAATATGGCCCCCTCATGACTTGTGGACTTCAACTCCCAGAATTCCTGAGCCAGCATGAGGGAAATATGGTCCCCTCATGACTTGTGGACTTCAACTCCCAGAATTCCTGAGCCCGCATGGCCGGGCTTGGAAACCTCTCCCTGTCCCCTCAGGAATTCTGGGAGTTGAAGTCCGCGAGTCATCAAAGAGCCACGGTTGCCTATCGCTGGGCCAGAGCGGCAAGCCGAGCTAGAGAGTCAAAACCGAACCGGCCAATCAGCGCCTTTCCTCGGGGCTGCCATTTGCATGCGAGTGCCAACTCAGCAGCGCAGCGTTCCGGCTGCCAAAGGGCCGGCCCCCACTGAAAAGGGATCCGTTGCAACGGGGCGGGGCTGGCGGCTGTGCTCCGCCCCGGGCGAGGGAGGGAGGGAGGGGGTAGCAAGCCCCTCCCCCTTTGTGGGAGCCGGCAGATCCGGGTCTCCTTGCAAAAAGGGCCGGAGTCTGACGTGGTCAGTGCAATCAAAACACAAGCAGGGTGGACGCGCCGGGAGGGCTTCTCTGCAGCCTGCCCAAATTGCACCGCCGCCAGCCGCAGCCAGCTTGGTGAGTTTTGGGTTCGGCTCCCGCTTCTACGCACCGAATCTCGGGCTGCCCGTCAAAAGGGACGCGGTGCAATCCGGGGTGGGCTGCAAAGGGCGTGTTGGGGACCCCTTGCGAAGTTGTGTCGCCGCCGAAACAACTTTGCAAACGGCTGGCCCCGTTGCTTTTAGCACCCCCCACCACCACCACCACCCCTCGCTCCCCCCCCCCCCCAAAAGAGATCCAGTCCCCGTTGCAAAACCGCTTGGGGAGAAAAACTCGGGGTTAAAAAAATAGCGATCTGGCGTTGCGATCCTACGATCGCCATTCGCACCCCCCCCCTCTCTCTCTCTCTCTCTCGAGGGCTTGGCGTTGGCGATCTAAAAAAAAAAAGAGAGAAGCCGGCCCTTTTTGGCTTGCTGGCTAAGTTGCGCTTGTGCATTCCGATTTCTTTGGCAACTTTATGCAGTTGATAAGCGGGTTTTTTTTTTTAATTTAATTTATTCAAGTCTTTCTGGAATTCTTGGAAAGTGATGTGTTTGTGTGGGCTCAGTGAGGTCACGGGGCATCCTTGTAGAATTTATTTATTTATTTATTTATTTATTAATTAAATTTATATACCGTCCTATCTCCCTTGCGGGGACTCAGGGCGGTGAACAGGCGATACTAAGAATGCGTGAAACGCGATGAGACAGACCCGACTCTAGAAAACAAAGAGTAAGTTATTGCTTATTATTGAATACCTTTTTAGTCTTCTGCCGTTTAACATGCTGAGCAACCGGTTGAGCCCTCTGGAGTTACCCGTGTTGAACCGCAGGTTTATCCTACTGATAAAAATCTTCACGCTTTTCCAGAATGAACTTATCCCTGGATCATAACTTCCCATCCATTTCTGAGGCCGAGCACTTTAAAGCAGGGGTAGTCAACCTTGGCTCTTTTATGACTTGTGGACTTCAACTCCCAGAATTCCCGAGCCAGCCATGCTGAGGGGATAGGAAGAGGTTTCCAAGCTGAGCCATGCTGGCTCAGGAATTCTGGGAGTTGAAGTCCACGAGTCATGAGGGGGCCGTAGTTCCCCCATGCTGGCTCAGGAATTCTGGGAGTTGAAGTCCATCAGTCATGAAGGGGCCATAGTTCCCCCATGCTGGCTCAGGAATTCTGGTGGGCTGGGGGCTGTTGTGCTTGAGAAGGAACCAATCCACCAATCGGAAAAGAGCTGGAAGGGCCCTTGGAGGTCCTCTAGTCCAACCCCCTGCTCAAGTTGAAGTCCACGAGTCATCAAGGGGCCAAAGTTTCCCTCATGCTGGCTCAGGAATTCTGGGAGTTGAAGTCCACGAGTCATAAAAGAGCCAAGGTTGACTACCCCTGCTTTAAACTGACCGTATACTTTTATTATTCCAAATGATCAGGCAGAGCCTCTTAAAAAATAAGGCGAGCGTGAAGGGTTTGTGCCTGAACAACTTTGAATCTCGGCTTCTTTTTTTTTTTGGTCTCCTGGGACAAGCCAGGGTTGACATCTCATCCAAAAATGACTTTGTAAGGTATGCACTGCTTAGTTTTTTTTTAAAAAAAATGAAAACATATATCCCCAGCACATTAGCTGACTTTGGTTAATCAGTTCTGGTCACCAGGATACAAAACAAAGGATGCTGAAGCGCCTAGAAAGTGCAGCTACAGGTATAAGAACCAGGAAGCTAAATTTCATAAACATAATTATTGTATAAGGAACTGCTAAGGGAACAACTGTTTTAGCCTCATGAAAAGAAGGCTTAGGAGAGACCTGATACCATCTTCCAATACTGGAAAGGCTGTCACCGGAAAGAGAGGGTTGATTTATTATCCTAAGAAAGGAAGGACAAGAAGTAACGGGTGGAAGATCCTCGGGAGGAGATCCAGCCTGAAAATAAGAATTTCCCAACAGCGAGAACTATTAAACAGGTGAACAGTTTTCCTCCCAGCTGCTCCATCACTGGAGATTTTCAAGAAAATATTGAACAACCGTTTGGCCTGGGATGATACAGTATAAGGCTCTTATTTTGGGCCAAGGTCCCTTCCCTAGGATTCTATCAAAGTTAAAAGGTATCCCACATTCCTACTTGAATGTGGGATACCCATATTAGGCAGGAAAGTTGGGGGGGGTCACCAAAGCAGGAGAAAATCACTTTTATATTCTTTCCAAGAAAAGGGCATATAGATAACGTTTGTTTCCTTCACTTATTTATAAAAATAAATACAGAGGAGCTGAGCTCCCCTTAAGGAAGATAACTTTTTTTTTTACCCCTTCTTCTTTTTCTGTTTGCTTTTCCTTCCCAATCCTTATTGCTTCTGAAATGTCCTCCTGTTTATTGTTGCTTAAAAAAACACACACACCCAAACTCCAGTCTAAAGTTGCAGCGGATCAACAGAGCCAATTGTGAAGTTTCTGGGCTGTAGCCAAAAGTAACTAACTTGACTCTCAGGGACGATGACCAGTGATGTATTTTCCTGCCTGCTTTTTTTCCCCCTTTAATAATTCGCCACAGGCTTTGAAATGCTGAAAGGTTTTCAAGAACAACTGATCCAGAAAATTTAAAATCCCCTTGATCAGTAATGGACCTCTGTTTATTTTTATTTATTTTTTTGTTCGTTTATTATTTTGCCTTGAATTTTATCCTATCCTTTCCTACCTTTCTCATTCTGATTTGGCTGTTTTTTTCCCCCTCTTAATTCCCATTGTATTTTATTCCTGAAAAAAAAATATGTACTTATCTCCCATTTTTTTTAGCTCAGTAATGGCATTCCTTCCCTCTGGAAGACTGGAATTAACATATGATAAAAGGTCCCTTTGGAACTGGTTTCAGGAAATGCTAACAGTTATAGATTGTTTTTTTTTTAAAAAAAAGAAACCAGTATAACCAGTTGGAAGGGATGGGAAAGAACAGTTAGCGCATAGTATGGACTTGAGGAAGAAAGATGAAAAATAAAGAGCTTTGTGGCATATTACTGGGAATTGTCCTCCTGTAAATAGCTATGGCATTAAAAAGTTATTTCTTTTCAGATTTCTTGAACCCCAAAATAATTTTCTTCTCTCTTGACTACGACCTGCAGGAATTGTCTTATGGGGACACATCTGGAGGTGTATGTGCACATGTGGCAGAGAAATGGACAAAGAGATAGATACCTTAAAGATTGACCATTATTTTGCTCTTGCTCTTGATGACACTTTTTTTTTGGCAGGTTAGATAGAAGAGGAAGATTTTATTGCAAAGGGCGGTATATTCAGCTCTATAATGCATACAATTGTTACATGTCTTCAATGCAAATTGAGTCTAGCTTTTTTTTTTTAAAGGTCCAGTTAGTAATTGTGACTGGGGATAAATTAGCCAAAGGACACACATGATCATTTAAGAAGAGGCCTTTCATACATCTTGAATTGGTGGGACCTTTACCCTTAGGGCATAAAAATGGGAAAGATCTTCAGATCTATTCACACTAACACTTGCTAGGTGGAAAACTCTTTTGAACCTCTTTGTTTTCAGTAAAATGTGTCTGTTTTTGTAACTGGAGGCTCTAATTTCTGCATGGGATCTTGTCTGCATAGCCCAAAAAGTTTAAGGATATCAAAAGACAGAAAGCTGATTAGGGATGTGCAGCCGATGGGAAGATAGTTTTAAGATATTTTGAAATCCTGCTCCTGTAAACAGATGTGAAGCCTCAGGAAAGCAGGGGGGAAATAGAATATTTAATTGGAGGGAGATTTTTCTGGTTTTTTTCCCCACACACACCCCTCGAAACACGCCAGGCTTCATAGCCACATGCCACAGGCTACAACTGCTAGCAATGCAGAATGGAACCGATAGAAGAGAATGCTTATAATTCAGGGTTGAACTAGTGTGGAAATGGCTTAACAGATAAGGATATTGGATTCTTAAGAGTTCTAGCATTTGAAGCCCTATATTTAATATCTTTACATTGTGCTCGTGCTTGTATAATTGCATATTTAAGGGCCATTATTTAAATATATTTTTTTTCCTCCACCAACAGTGTCACAGGCTTAGCGACACGCTCTTAATATTTATTTCTGGATATCTCACTTTAATTGCTTTTATAAATAACTCGGGCTCGCGTGTCTACTACTACTTCCTTCTCCTGTTTTCCCCATCACATAATCCCGTGAGGTTAGTTGGTCTGAGAGAGGGGGAGCTAGTAGCCCAAAGCCACTCGGCTAGCTTAGCCCAATGCCACTCGGCTAGCTTTCACGTCTAAAGTGGGGCTAAAATCCACAATTTCATGGGGTCAGAATCCGCAGTCTCCCAGTTTCTAGGCCAGCACCTTAATCACTAGACCAGGGATGGGGAACCTTGGCTCTTTCATGATTTGTGGGCTGGAACTCCCAGAATTCCTGAGCCAGCATGGCAGCAGGAATTCTGGGAATTGAAGTCCACAAGTCATAAAAGAGCCAAGGTTGCCCACCCCTGCACTAAACCAAACTGGCTCTCTATATGTTGTAAGGTTCTTTTTCCAGGCATGTCTTTTAGGCAAATGTATTTCGTTTTAACATCTGTTGTCAGAATTTCAAAAAAAAGTTGCAGCAGCCTCATCCTAATTGCTGCATTTTATTTTATTTTATTTTTTCCTCCCCAAATCTCCTCTGTGCCTTGCTGACTGGCTTTGATGAGATCAAGGACAGAAAGATAGCGAGCAACCTGCGATAATCCAAATTCTATCTCAGGCTTTTATTTGCAAGGTCAGGACAAACCTTGAACGATTTCAGGGCTACGACAGGAATGAAAACTCTCTCGGTCCATAATTGCCAGCCCGATATAAATACATTTTTGCCCACTGCGCTGGGCAAGGCATTAAAACGTAAGCAACACCTTTGCCCCGCAACCCAGTAATTTGCATTGTCTTACCATAACATACTGCTTTTCGTGAAAGTTTGTTCTGTCTTACGAGAAATGTCTCATTTCCTACTTTCATCAATATATTTAGCAGTGGGACATAATATATGCAAAACGAGCATCCATTTCAAGACGGAGAGTTAGTCTCCATGTCTGTGATTTTCAGCTACGGTTCTGCCATGAAGAACAGCTTACGTGTTACTCAAAATACACTTTGGGTTCTACCACCGATCTTGCCCTTCAGCGTACATGGGATGTTACTGGCTTAGTTCCTCAATTTAGTAATAATAATAGCAACAACAACAACACCCCGGACTTAACAACTGTCGATAAGAAAGACAAAAAAGTCTGGACAGCGGACGTGGCAGTGCCTGGAGACAGCAGAATAGACGAGAAAGAACTGGAGAAGATCACAAAATACAGAGACCTACAAATAGAAATAGAAAGACTGTGGCAAAGGCAAGCAAGGGTAGGACCAATAGTCATAGGCGCCTTGGGTGCAATCCCAAAACAACTGGAGCACCACTTGAACACCGTTGGCATTGACAAATTCGCCATATACCAAAATGGTATAGGGTTTCCTGCCTGAGCAGGGGGTTGAACTAGATGACCTCCAAGGTCCCTTCCAACTTTATAATTATCATTATTATTATTATTATTATTATTATTATTATTATTATTATTATTATTAGTCAATTGCAAAAGGCGGCCTTACTAGGAACCGCTTCCATCCTGCGACGATATCTGTAATACCATCAAACATCCACGTCTGCCTATCCCAGGTCCTTGGGAAGGACTCGATAGGTAGACAAAAATGCCAAATCCAGTCTGAACATCTGGCTGACTGTGCGATGATCCATAATAATAATAATAATAATAATAATAATAATAATAATAATAATAATAATAATAATAATAATAATAATAATAAAGTTGGAAGGGACCTTGGAGGTCATCTAGTCCAACCCCATGCTCAGGCAGGAAACCCTATACCAGTGGGTCTCAACCTGTGGGTCGGGACCCCATTTGGGGTCGATCGACCATTTCATGGGGGTCGCCAAGCAAGGCTGTCTGCCATTTTTTTTGTCCGCCATTTTTTCCCCTTTTCCGGCGGGTGCCTTACCTCCCTTGGGCTGGGCCAGCTGGTGGTCGGCCTGCTCCGTCTCTGCTGCTTGCCAGCTACGCCTCAGCCGGCGCAGGGGGCGGAACCACACATGCGCGGCGCTCCCGGGCAGAGAAAGTCCTCTACTTACGACCGGTTGGGTGGTTCTCGACTTACGACCGGTTTGGTCCTCGACTTATGACCCGTTGGGGTCACGGCATTAAAAAGGTTGAGAACCACTGCCCTATACCATTTCAGACAAATGGCTGTCCAGTCTCTTCTTAAAGACTTCCAGTATTGGAGCATTCACTGTTTCTGGTGGCAAGCAGTTCCACTGATTAATTGTTCTAACTGTCAGGAAGTTTCTCCTTAGTTCCAGGTTGCTTCTCTCCATGATGAGTGTCCATCCGTTGCTTCTTGTCCTGCCTTCGTATAATTTGTATAATCAGCTCTGATCCATTGTGATTCCTTCTTTAATACGATGGATGACGAGTCTCCAATCAACTGACTACAGGTGGTCCTCAGCACACGGCCACAATTGAGCCCCCAAATTGCTGTGGCTAAGGGCGACAGCTGTTAAGTGAATTTTGCGACCGTCATAAGTACAAGTCAGTTGCCAAGCCTCTGAATTTGGATCAAACACGACCACGGGGAGGCTGCAACGGCCGTAAGTGTGAAAAATGGTCCTCGGTCACTTTTCCCAGTTCCGTTGTATCTTTGAAGAGTCACTAAACAAACGGTTCAAACGGTTGTAAGTGGAGGACGACCCGTAGAGACCTTAGCGCTGAATTCCCCGCTGCTGAAATAATTTTAAAAAGCTGCTTTTAATCGCCAAAAAGTTGACCAACTTGTTTAACTCGTGCTGGAGGCTTGCTGTTTTGAAACGGTAGAAAGCAAGCCTGCAGGGTTTGGCCCATGACAAATAGAGATGGTCCTCTACGTACGACCACAACAGAGCCCAACGTTTCCGTCGCTAAGCGAGACATTTGTTAAGGCAGTTTCGTCCAGTGGTGGGATTCAGCCGGTTCGCACCACTTTGGCAAAAAAACCCGGTAAATACACACAGGGAACCGGTTGTTCACCTATTTGAATCCCACCACTGGGTTTCGTCTCATTTTACGACCTTCCTTGCCACAATTGTTAAGGGAATCCCTGCAGTTGGGTTGTTAAGTAAATATGGCTTCCCCCCATGGACTTCTGCCCCGTCAGAAGGTCGCAAAAGGGGGAATCAACGTGACCTCAAGAGGGTGCGACCGTCATAAATATGAACCCGTGGCCAAGCGCCCGGAGTTTGATCCCGCGACCGCGGGGGATGCTGCAAGGGTCATGTCTGCAAAACGGTCATAAAGTCGTTTTTTTCAGTGTTGCTCTAACTCCAAACAGTCGTTAAATGAACGGTTGCAAATCAAGGACTACCTCGTAATAGCGTTCGGCACAAAATGACTTGTGCAACTTAAGAATTAGCTGGGGGAAACTTCGGATGGCATAACGATGCGTGCGATTAATTATTGCACAATGAAAATGGCCACGTTCCGTTTTGTATTTACCTTAATGCCTTTGTTTTATACTAGTTAAACAGGTGTGGCAGGAAACGGCCGGTAAAGAGCGAGGATTTGGTTGTTTGTTTGCATCTAAAGTAGGATTTCGAGTCCTTAAATAGCTACATCCTGAAAGTTAACGTTGTGTTCTTTTATGGTTTTTATAAAGGCACGTGGTTTGCCTGCACTTTTTCTAATATCTTGTGGAAGCCTCCGTTACAGGTGTAAAATCAGGCACTGGCTACTCCTTAGCAAACCCCCCATGGACAAACTACAGATTACAGGAATAAAATACAGATTTTATTTGCATTTTATTTATTTGTATCCCGGCCTGCTCTGCAGTGGCTAAGCCTAACCCTTTGGAACATCGTTCCTTCGGAAATAAGGTTGACTCCCTCCTTCCTTTTTTGAAATCCTTGACGACGTGGTTCTGTCAGTAGGTTTGGGGACCCCAGGTTGATTCCGAGACGATCGAAGGACTTGTATTATTGTATTTTGTCACTGCCATGGGGTGGTGTGTGGGTTTTGTGGCTGATCTTTAATGCTTTACACCACCCATACGCACCGTGTGCAAGTGGGGCAGCCAGAGAGACAGTTTGGACTAGTGGTTAAGGCACTAGACTAGAAAGCAAGGGACTGTTAGTTGTCCCACTTTAGGCATGAAAGCCAGCTGGGCGACTTTGGGCTAATCACCAGGAGACGGTGAGTTCTAGTCCCACCTTAAGACTGAAGACCAGCTGTGTAACTTTGGGCTAATCACCAGGAGACGGTGAGTTCTAGTCCCACCTTAAGCCTAAAAACCAGCTGTGTAACTTTGGGCTAATCACCAGGAGACGGCGAGTTCTAGTCTCTCCTTAAGCCTGAAAACCAGCTGTGTATCTTTGGGCTAATCGCCAGGAGACGGTGAGTTCTAGTTCCACCTTAAGACTGAAGACCAGCTGTGTAACTTTGGGCCAATCACCAGGAGACGGTAAGTTCTAGTCCCACCTTAAGCCTGAAAGCCAGCTGGGTGACCTTGGGCCAGTCATTCTCTCTCAGCCCACCCCACCTCACAAAGTTGTGGTCATGGGGGAAAAAATAAGAGAAAAGTGTTTTGGATATGTTTGCCGTCTTGAGTTATTTGTGAAAACAAGACAGGCGGGATGTAAATACATGAACGAATAAAAATAAATATAAATAAATAAACACAGCCAATTTTGTTTCTCTCTAGGGTCCATTAACGCTCCAGGTCCATCCCTAACATGGCGGAAGGCGGCTTCGACCCCTGTGAGTGTATTTGCGCGCATGAGCACGCCATGAGGAGGTTGATCGATCTGGTAAGGATCATCTGGGAGACGATGTTCTCGTTCTTTGGAGTTGGCTGCTTTGAAGAGTCTTCAGATCAAATCTGCACGTTTTTAAGGGCAGGCCCCGCTTGGATTTCCCACACCATGGAGTAAAATGCAAATGGCAATATGTTCTGGAGACCCCTCCCACCTTCCCACACAGATGAAGGAAAGGAGGGATAGACAGATAAATAGACATTCACCTGTGCTAGTTCTATATATCGTGTTTTCCCAAAAATAAGACCGGGTCTTATATTAATTCTTGCTGCAAAAGACACATTAGGGCTTATTTTCTGGTTAGGCTTATATTCTGGAAAATACGGTACTAAATGCGTCCATCTGGCTGATGATCTTAACTGGGGCTTATTTTTGGGGTGGGGCTTATATTATGAGCATCCTGAAATAATAACAACAACAACAAAAACAACAACAACAACAACAACAACAATAATAATAATAATAATAATAATAATAATAATAATAATAATAATAATAATAATAATAATAATAATAATAATAATAATAATTGAAGAAAGAAACCGAGGGACTAATTCTGGCTGCACAAGACCAAGCCTTAAGGACAAATGCATACAAAGTCAAAATTGAGAAGACAGCAACAGACAGTAAGTGCCGCCTATGCAAAGAAGCTGAAGAAACAGTGGACCACCTGGTAAGCTGCTGCAAGAAGATCGCACAGACTGACTATGAGCAGCGACATGACAAAGTAGCAACAATGGTGCATTGCAAGATCTGCAAGAAATGTCATTTGCCCGTAAGGAAGAACTGGTGGGATCATAAAATAGAGAAAGTCATAGAAAATGATAAAGTTAAACTGCTCTGGGACTTCAGAATTCAAACAGACAAGCGCCTGCCACATAACACCCCGGACTTAACAATTGTCGATAAGAAAGACGAAAAAGTCTGGATAGTGAACGTGGCAGTGCCTGGAGACAGCAGAATAGACGAGAAAGAACTGGAGAAGATAACAAAATACAAAGACCTACAAATAGAAATAGAAAGACTGTGGCAAAGGCAAGCAAGGGTAGTACCAATAGTAATAGGCGCCTTGGGTGCAATCCCAAAACAACTGGAGCACCACTTGGACACCATCATCGGCACTGACAAATTCGCCATCAGTCAATGGCAAAAGGCCGCCTTACTAGGAACTGCTTCCATCCTACGACGATATCTGTAATACCATCAAACATCCACATCTGCCTATCCCAGGTCCTTGGGAAGGACTCGATAGGTAGACAAAAATGCCAAATCCAGTCTGAACATCTGGCTGACTGGGCGATGATCAATATAATAATAATAATAATAATAATAATAATAATAATAATAATCCTCATATCTATACACTGCTTAGCTAGGAGTTTGCATTATAGAAACCGTTCCATTTGATCTCCAGAAAGGCAGCCCACAGTATGACACCCTTTTACACGCCGAGATTAGGAAGGCAAATGTCAGTTGAGACACTTCTGGAAGGTAGCGGGGTGCACCAAGCAACTACTCCTACCTTCCAAAGTAGGAAACAAGTTTAGGGTGCGAAGAGATTTATTATTATTTTTTAGGGCAGGAGATTTGAGTCCACCAGCCTTTTGCAGCTGAGCTGTTCTGCTACAGTGGTCTTAACTAGTTCCTGAAATGTTATATGAAACTTTTGAAAAGTGAAATGAAGCAGTGAGACTTTTCATGTCAGCTGTAGTAGTTACGCTTCGGGGATTAAAGGGACTTCTCCTTTGCTTGCTATAACTGTCTCGTTCCTACACCTGGGACAATTGTTCGTAAACATCTTCCATCATTTTCAGGAGTCCTAGTATCCTAACAGGTTGGATATGATTTAAAGAAAATCCAGGGGCTGCAATCTCTGTAGCTGGTGTATGCAGAAGTGAGGATTGTATTTTTCTTCTGGGATAACTTGCGTATTTTACAGAATAACAAGAGTTGGAAGGGATCTTGGAGGTCATCTGGTCCAACCCCCTGCTCAGGCAGGAAACCCTATACCATTTCAGAGAAATGTTGTCCAATCTCTTGTTTAAAACTTCCAGTGTTGGAGCATTCACAACTTCTGGAGGCAAGGAGTTCCACTGGTTATTTGTTCTCACTGTCAGGAAATTTCTCCTTAGTTCCAGGTTGCTTCTCTCCTTGCTTAGTTTCCAACTGTTGCTTTGTGGAGGGTCTTCTCAATTTTTATGCCCTCTTTCCACATGCTGAAAAAAAATTACCGGAAGATAGAAATGGACTTTCATAAATCACACAAAATAATGAAAAAAAATTTGGTAATCTTTGATCGTATTAGTATTTTTGGGACAGCCAAGCAAAAGTCCGCACAACAGAATGTGGTGTTACTGTAGGAGTTATATGTTCTGTCTAAGAGCTGCGACAGCCACCAAGAATCCTTGAGATTTAATTTTCAACAAGCACTGATGATGTTACCTAGTCGGGTAATGAAACGTCTGTAAGAAAACAAGCAAGCTCAGAGAGCACCAAGAACCCCTCGTTTCAATCCTGAGCGACGAATATTCTCCTTTATTGGTATTTGTTTCCCCCCTCCTAGCAATTCTCCTGTCTTGTCATCCACAGGCAGACTTTTTATCATTACCCTAATCCACAATTACTCAAGTGGCATCAATATAATGAAAAATGGGACAGATGGACTTTAAAGATTAAAGAGAAAGAAGACTCGGTGTACTTTAGAACATGGGATCATTTCCATCAATGGCTAGAAAGACGAGTCAGAGAAAGGAATGAGACATGTAATTTTGAACATATATTAGCAAGAAGGCTATTGAGTGATGAATTAACATATTGTTTATGGTAATTAACTACATCTATTATTGTTAGTTAAATACATGTACCCAGACATTATGCTGTTTGCTAAATATTGGAAATGTTATTTGGATAAACCCCAACCTCAACCCTAACCCAAATCCTAACCCTAATCCCGACCCCATCTTATTCCAAACCCTATAAAACTAATAAAATCTCTCTCTCTCTCTCTCTCTCCCCCTCTCTCTCTCTCTCTCTCTATCTATCTCTAACTATCTAACTATCTATCTATCTATCTATCTATCTATCTATATCTATATATTAAAAACTTAGCTTTCGTCAGCGTCTCCTAACAGCGTCTGCTGACAAAAGCTAAGTTTTTAATAAATTTTTAGTCTCAGTGATCTGTGTTTTAGTTTTTGAATATGAATATACCTGAGACTCGTATCTTCAAAACCATTTTATCTATCATCTATCTATCTATCTATCTATCTATCTATCTATCTATCTATCGAGAGAGAGAATGAACAATTCTGTATTGTTCTACGGAAATTGCTGGGAAGTTCACACTGATGTTTTTATTTTTCCCAGCACAAAACGAGTATGTGTTCCTTGTTCATTTCCTAAAGTTATTGTATCAAACTATTCTTAGATCCGGATTTGAGATCCCTACACATGAGTAGCTTCACGCTGGCAGTTTCTTGGGTAGCTGTTACTCTACATTACTATGCAGCTAGTCCTCAAGTTAGGACCACAGCGGAGCCCAACATTTCCGTTGTTAAGTGAGACATTTGTTAAGCAAGTTTTGCCTCATTTTACGACCTTCCTTGCCACAGTTGTTAACGTGAATCACTGCAGTTGTTAAGTTAGCAACATGGCCTCCCCCTTGACTTTGCTTGTCAGAAGGTCACAAAAGGGGATCAACACGACCCCGGGGGAACACTGCCACCGTCATAAATGCGAGTCGATGGCCAAGCGTCTGAATTTTGATCACGTGGCCATGGGAGGGATGCTGCAAACGGTCGTAAGTGTGAAAAACGGTCCTAGGTCACTTCGGTGCCGTTGTAACTTCGAACGGTCACTAAATGAATTGTTGTTAAGTTGTATGTGCCTCGAGGATGACCCAAGTCCACCAGGGGGAGCCCCTGAGCTGAAATCCTGCTTACAGGTTTGTTATTTCAACTTTGCAACTGAATTTTTTTTTTTAAGGTGATATTCCTTACCTTGATGAAGTTGGCATGGTGGCCTAGAGGTGGTGCTCTCGCCTCACAATCAGGAGGCCGCAAGTTCAATCCTGGGTAGAGGCAGATATTTCTCTCTCTGGGTGCAAAGAGTAATTGTCTGCAGCCGAACTCCTCCTAATAATAATAATAATAATAATAATAATAATAATAATAATAATAATAATAATAATAATAATAATAATAATAATAATAACAACAACAATAACAATAATAATGAAAATTGAAGAAAGAGACCGACAACACAACAATAACAACAATAACAATAATAATGAAAATTGAAGAAAGAGACCGAAGAACTAATTCTGGCTTCACAAGACCAAGCCTTAAGGACAAATGCATACAAAGTCAAAATTGACAGTAAGTGCTGCCTATGCAAAGAAGCTGAAGAAACAGTGGACCACCTGGTAAGCTGCTGCAAGAAGATCGCACAGACTGACTACAAGCAGCGGCATGACAAAGTAGCAACAATGGTGCATTGGAAGATCTGCAAGAAATATCATTTGCCCGTAAGCAAGAACTGGTGGGATCATAAAATAGAGAAAGTCATAGAAAATGATAAAGTTAAACTGCTCTGGGACTTCAGAATTCAAACAGACAAAGCACCTGCCACATAACACCCCGGACTTAACAATTGTCGATAAGAAAGACAAAAAAGTCTGGATAGTGGACGTGGCAGTGCCTGGAGACGAGAAAGAACTGGAGAAGATAACAAAATACAGAGACCTACAAATAGAAATAGAAAGACTGTGGCAAAGGCAAGCAAGGGTAGTACCAATAGTAATAGGCACCTTGGGTGCAATCCCAAAACAACTGGAGCACCACTTGAACACCATCATCGGCATTGACAAATTCGCTATTAGTCAATTGCAAAAGGCGGCCTTACTAGGAACTGCTTCCATCCTGCGACGATATGTGTAATACCATCAAACATCCACATCTGCCTATCCCAGGTCCTGGGTAAGGACTCAATAGGTAGACAAAATGCCAAATCCAGTCTGAACATCTGGCTGACTGTACGATGATCCATAATAATAATAATAACAGAATTGGAAGGGACGTTGGAGGTCATCTAGTCCAACCCTCTGCTCAGGCAGGAAACCCTATACCATTTCAGACAAATGGCTGTCCAGTCTCTTCTTAGAAACTTCCAGTGTTGGAGCATTCACCGCTTCTGGAGGCAGGTTGTTAATGCTCAGCTCCATAGTCTAACAGAAAAAGCAAAAAATTCCTTACCCTTAAAGACAATCTGTTTTCAATCTCTGCTATCCTAAACTTCAAAATTCTTGGAAAACCCTTGGATATTCTCCAAAGATAAGAATGCAAGTACATAAATGATTCTGATCTGTAGAATTCTGAATATGGCGAGTTTTTCCTCTGGAAAGGATATCTTTTACACTAAGACTCTATTAAAAAAAAAACTCGTTTCATGAGGTTTACTAAGGACTTTTCCAAGTGACGCTGCTGCTCTTTCAAAAGACGGGGCCACCGTCTCCGATCTTAATGTATAGTCGCCGTGTCTTGCCTTGATTTAATTTCGGCTGGCTAATTCCCAAGAGCACAATTGGGATTCTGCCCGACGGTCGTGATGATGGAATTAAGAATCAAGAGTCTAATAAATGAAAGGAGCTCTCTAAGAGCTACTAACGCAGCCATATGGCTTTCCATCAGCTTACATTTATGTTAATATTGCCCTCTTTGGTTTAAAAGGAAAAAAAACACCCACACAGTAAGGTAGAAGTCTGTTTATAGACTCATTAGAAGCAATAAAAAGTCAGGCTCCATTCCTAGGGATATAATACCATTTCAGACAAATGGCTGTCCAGTCTCTTCTTAAAAACCTCCAGTGTTGGAGCATTCACCGTTTCTGGAGGCAGGTTGTTCCACTGGTTAATTGTTCCCACTGTCAGGAAGTTTCTCCTTAGTTCTAGGTTGCTTCTCTCCTAGATTAGTTTCCATCCGTTGCTTCTTGTCCTGCCTTCAGTTTGATCGTATTTTATCTATCTACATCTTAAATTGCCGTATTTGATTCTAGTTTCATTTTAAAAATGAATTTTATCCCAATTTCATTTTAAATTGTATTTTATTTCTGTTTCATTCTAAAATTATACTTTAACCAGTTCCATTCTAAATTGTTTTTACTGCATTTTAGTATAACATGTGTTTGGAACGCTGCACCTTGATATAATGGCCCACGGGCTAATCAATAAAGATTATTATTATTATGAGTACTGTAAAGCAGTCCAGGATTTGGAAGGCAAATGAGTATGCTGTGTATAGGTCCTATTTTCCCCTAGAACAGAATCAGTGTCAAGAGTTTTAGGAAACACATATAATGATAGCATCATTTAGTGTTCCTAAAATTTCCAATTATATATAGTAATAAACTTGCATAGTTACAGAGGGCAATTTATGGTGGCGTTGAACTTTATTGGCCAATGTCAGATTTTCTCCGAAATTTTTTATTGGCTCTGCTGTGAATAGTGAGAAATTCTGATGAATATCTACATTTCTGTAGATATTCCTACAGTTCGTAGGAACTTATGGAATAAGATGCACAAGCCACGTTTTTCCACAGGGCAGGCAATTATGACTGATGGCAGAAATGGATTTCTTGTGTACATTTAATTTTCCAGGGTATTTTAATCTTTGGAGATTGTCCAGCAAGCTTCAAAGCTGGTGAAATCTAATTAAATTCGTGTCCTTGTCTTCATTTCAGTTACGGCAATCTCAGTCCTATTGCACGGATACAGAATGTCTTCAGGAACGTAAGTACTTGGAAGGCCAGAATATTTACTACGAATAGATGGTTACAATGTGAAACATGATGAAGAACTAATACATTACGCTAGCCAGTGTAAGCCAAAATAAGTTAATCTGCACATGCCACCTTTTGTCTTGCCTCTGTTCTGATTAACACAGGCATCCTCTTATTAGTTATGATTTAATCTGAACTGGGGGGGAAAATACATTGACGTTTTTAGCATATAATAGCATCTTAATAATAATAATAATAGTAAAGTTGGAAGGGACCTTGAAGGTCATCTAGTCCAACCCCCTGCTCAGGCAGGAAACCCTATACCATTTCGGACAAATGGCTGTCCAGTCTCTTCTTAAAAACTTCCAGTGTTGGAGCATTCACCGCTTCTGGAGGC